AGGCTTTGCAGAGGAATCTCCTGGAATTCCAGGCTGGAAGGGACATTAAATCCCATCCTATTTTCCTGCTCCAACCTGGCCTTGGAAACTTCCAGGGATGGGGCAGCCCCAGCTTCTCTGCTGCAGGGTGTCAAAATCAAAAATATTGATTTTCTGTGTGTCTTGCTGCTTTTCTGCTCTGTTTTCCTCTAATATCAACTATTTTTGTGTGAATTTCAGGGTTTTGGCATGAATAATGAATATTACCAATTACCTTTCAGGTTTTTGGCATGAATAATGAATATTACCAATTACCTTGGTAATAAACTCAGCAGCTGAAAGGCTTGAGCAGAGGTATTTGATCCTGGTTGTGTTATTAAAGAACACAAAAGTGTTTATTTCTGCCTTGCAGGTAGGGAGCAATAATTGATGGTGCATTGAGCTGTGAAATTTGTGTCAGGAAAGGGGGACAACCCTACTGACCCTTATTTCTGTAGGGAAATACAGGAGTAGGGGAAAAAGTGCTAAAACCCAGCAGATTTTAATTCAATATGAGCTGGCTTAATTCAGCCAGGACACCAAAATTATGTTGATATTTTTGATGTGAGAATATGCAAAATTAAGTCATGAAATAGTGGAGAAAGTGCTAAAACCCAGCAGTTTTTAATTCAATATGAACTGGAGGACACCAAAATTGTGTTGATATTTTTGATGTGAGGATATCCAAAATTAAGTCTTGAAGTAGCAGGAAAGGTGTTAAAAGCAATCAGTTTTTAATTCAATATGAATTGGTTAATTCAGCCAGGACACCAAAATTGTGTTGATATTTTTGATGTGAGAATATGCAAAATTAAGTCCTGAAATAGTGGAGGAAGTGCTAAAACCCAGCAGTTTTTAATTCAATATGAGCTGGTTAATTCAGCCAGGACACCAAAATTATGTTGATATTTTTGATGTGAGGATATCCAAAATTAAGTCTTGAAGCTCTACAGTGGTGGTAGTTGATTAATTTACACTTTTAATGACTTGTTAAGACTTTATTTAATGGCACTGGAAGAGGTAAAGAGAATGAAAAGAGTAAGAAATGGACAATGGTGTTGTTTTCAAATTTCAGTGTAGTTATGGCTGATTTGGGGGCTGATCAGTTGGGGAAATTGGGAATTTTGGGGAAATGTGGGATTTGAAATTACCTGAGGAAGCAAATCCTGCATGGGCAAATCTCTCTGAAGTGGAGCAATTCACCTCAAGACAATTCAAACTGCAGAATATGTGTAAAGGGAAGAAAAAAAGCTCTTTTTTAATTTTTTTTTTCTTTTAAACATATCCTCTGTTTACCATGCTGTTCAAATAATGTGATCACCAGGCACTGATTTTTGTCAAAGCTGATTCCAGCACTGGCTTCTGTTTGCTGTGGGGCCGCACCAGCAGCAACCTTTGCCTCCCACCAGGTGGAAATTGGGCTGAAATATTGAAATATTGGCAGAAAGTTGCCACAATTATTGCAGCTTAAATTTTGTGGGCTGAAGGCTGAAATCCAACCAATTTCTCTTTTTTCCAATTAACTTTTAGTGGGATTTCCTAAAGCTGAGGTGCCGCTCTTTCCTGTGTCACAGCAGGCAAGGTCACAATGTTAGATGAGGATTCAGAAATCTGGATTATTCCTTCATGCTTACCTGAAATTCCCATGGGAAACTGATGTTTCCTTTCTGAATTATTTCTGGCAGCTCCACCTGGAATAATTACAGCCCAGGCAGCATCAGGGGAGGAGTATTTGCTTCAGTGAGTGAAACATTTCCACTTAGGGAAATCAATAATGCTGAGATTTGGAGCAGCTTTTCCCTCCTGTTGTGCATCTCCCCTGAGGAGGGGATGGGAGAAAATGTGTGGAAAATGGAATATTCAGGTTAGAAAGGCATCCTCAAGGGCTGCTGGTGCTTTTTGTAAAACTGACAGCTCCTTTGAAGGATTTCAGCATCACAGGGGTGCAGCTGAGCTCCAGCAGCATCCAAAATTTGTGGGAAAGTGCACAGGGAAATGTGGGTTTATTAAGGATATTCTTTGATAATTCCTGCCACAATGGGTATTCTTTGATAATTCCTGCTCTTTGTGGGGCACAAAGAATATTCTTTGATAATTCCTGCCACAGAGAATATTCTTTGATAATTCCTGCTCTCACAGAGACAGTGAGCACTGGTGCACCCCCAGCTCAGCAGTGTGACATCCACCCCCACAAAAACAAATGAAAGAGTCCCCAGGGTGACTTTTAGTGATGATGAGGAGGGAGGATGATGTGGAGTTCACCAGGACAGCTGGCTTTGATGCTGTCCTGCTGTGCCCGGTGTTTGGGTGTCACAGCACTGAGGCTGTGAGAGGCTGAGCACAGATCAGGCTCACGCTGCAAATGTGCATCTTTTTTTTTTATGGTTTTGCATCAAACCACTCCTCCACGCATTCAAAAGGGGATGTTTGGCTGGAGGATGGGTTTATTTTTAGGGTTTGGTGGTTTTCAGATGTTTTCATTGGTGGGTGGCAGCGTTGAAAGCACATCCCAGGGCTGAGCTGCTGCTGGGGCTGAGCACGTCCCCTCAGCTGGGGCAGCTCCCCACACTCTGTGTGCTGGCACTGGGGGAGCTCTGCTTGTGCCATCCCCATTTTTCATCCCTTGGCATCCTCTTGAGCCTTATTTTAAATTTTTGACAAAATCCGGGTGTTGTGGATAGCCCAGGAGGAAGATCCAGGGCCCAGAGCTGCTGCTGGGGCTGAGCACATCCCCTCAGCTGGAACAACTCCCCACACTCTGTGTGCTGGCACTGGGGGAGCTCTGCTTGTGCCATCCCCATTTTTCATCCCTTGGCATCCTCTTGAGCCTTATTTTAAAATTTTTACAAAATCTGGGTGTTGTGGATAGCTCAGGAGGAAGATCCAGGGATACCCAAGGATGCTACAGGAGATTTTTCCAGGCTCTGCACATTGAAAGCCACGTTCCTCTTCTCTGTCTTATGCTTATCCTTATCAAACAAGGATTTGAGAATCTGCTTGATTTAAGAATCTGCTTGAATTCAGGATTGAGGATGTGCTGCATCTCTGTGGTGTTCACCTCATTGTCATGGCAACAGTTGGGAGGGCTGGCCCTGTCTCACTGATCTCACTGATACTCTCCTGAATATTAATAAATTTCCTGGTGCTTCCTTCAGACCTACATCCTTTAACAAGCTGAAATTCGTAAATTTACAAGGTGAAATTAATAAATGTACTGGTTTATATCCATTTTTTAGGAAACCAGAATGCTGGAATGAAGAGTTTGCACAAAGCTCCTGAACATTAAATTTACTGGTGCTTCCTTTAGACCTACATCCTTTAACAAGGTGAAGAAATAGATGAAAAAACAGAGTGAGAACCACTCAAATATTACTGAAAGGGAAAGAAACAACTGAAATAAGTGAGAACCACTCAAATAAAGGCAGCCCTAAATCTGCTGGGTTTATTGCAGGTGGAGCAGCAGCCCTGCCCTGTTCCTGCTGTGGCTCGTGGATAAATAACAGGAAAGGACTGAAATTAATCTGACATTGACCATGTTTTTGTAAAACTACCCTTGCTTGGTGAAAACAGGCAAATGCTTCTTTCAAATTTTAAAACTTCCTGTATCCTCAAATCAAAACCAAAACTGACTTGAAGGGCAAGTGAAACTTGACAGTGCTGTAAAAAGATGAGATGCATGTGAGGAGACTTCCTGAAAAATTGACTGAAATTCACTTTTATTGCTAAAATCTTGCTGCTGGTGTTTTCTTGCTCATTTCTTTCAATTTTATTTACTGTGCTTGCTTGTTTCTGCTGCTGTTGTGTCTCTGTGTTCATTCTTGAGTTTGGAATCAAGGGCCGGTACTGGAATTTTGTAGATTCCTTGCCCGGTTCTCTTCCCTCAATATCCAAAAACTTCTTCCCTCTGGAAGAAGATTTTGGATTTTATTGCAGATATTGATGAACCTTGGAAGCTTGGTTGGTTTTTATATCACTCCCATCAGTGCTTAAACTGTGAGAATCCCATTTGTGAATGTGAAAAATGCCAATCACTTGTTTTTAAAATTTTCAAAGTTTAATAATAATGAAATGATTATAAAAATAGCAGTGTAGTTAGAGTAATAACAATTTGGACAATTTGGATTAGGACAATATGAGACAATAAAAACAAAGAGTTACAGATGTCGGGGTATCTCTTTCTGGGCAAAATAAGCCCAAAAAAGGACACAGGTTAACAGAGGATTAACCCTTAAAAACAACAGCCTGTTGCACATTCATACACCTCATTAGTGATGCATAAATTCCATTTAAATACAGGATTCTGTCTGGTCAGTGTCAACTTCTTTCTCTTAATTCTAACAGCATCTTCAGGGCTGAGTGAGGTGGGAAGAAGTATAAGAGAGCAATAAATTGTCTTTCTCTGAAAGATTTAGGTGTCCTGTGGCTGCTATCTCCCTGCAAATCCTTTCTTTCAAAAAGTATCTTACATAGCATAGTTTCTATTTTAACATTATGTTATAACATAAAAGAATAACCTGTTACATATTCATACACCTCATATATGATGCCCAAAGTCCATTTAAACACAAGATTCTCTCTGGTCAGTGTCAGCTTCTTCCTCTGAATCCTGACATTGTCTTCATGGCTGAGTGGGGCAGGAAGAAGTTTCTTCTGATAATGGAGCAATAAATTCTTTTTCTCTGAAAGATTTAGTATCTCACATAACATAGTTTCTATTTTAACATTATGTTATAACATAAAACCATATTTAATACACTACTGAAAAAATGAATACAGCATCACTGTCTGACATAACACATATAATACTCATTTGAATATTTGCCAAAAGCCAATCATAAAATACACATTTTTCACAGTGAATAAAACAGATTTATCTCAGCAAGTCAGGCTTTTTCTGCGGGCAGACCATTCTGGGTGGGAAATGTGATGTGAGGAGTGGCACTGGAGTGGCCCCCCCTGAATTTCTGCTGTTTTATTCGCAGGTGTGCTGACCATGCTGACCCCGCCCGAGACCCCTGTGCAGCAGGAGCACGTGTAGGGTTTGCTGTGCAGATCCATGGACCTGGACCCCCATGCCAGCATGCAGGTGGGGATGAGGGTTGTGCGTGGAGTGGACTGGAAGTGGGGCAGCCAGGACAGCGGCGAGGGCAACGTGGGCACCGTGGTGGAGATCGGCCGCACGGGCAGCCCCACCACGCCCGACAAGACCGTGGTGGTGCAGTGGGACCAGGGCAACAGGACCAACTACCGCACGGGCTTCCAGGGCGCCTACGACCTGCTGCTCTACGACAACGCCCAGATAGGTGAGCACAGCAGGGCACAGCCCCTGGCACTGCCGTTCCTGCCCACGGCACCCCTGTCCGTGTGCCAGCCTCTGCTCGCTGCCTGCACGGCGATGCGCTAACCCAGCAGTAATTTAGAACCTTATTTGTGCATGTCTGTGTGATTTGTAAAGAATTTAATGTAATGTTTCTCTCTGTGCAGAGGCTGTGCTGGAACAGAGCATGGGCAAGGGCACAGCCCCTGGCACTGCCATTCCTGCCCACGGCACCCCTGTCCCTGTGCCAGCCTCTGCTCGCTGCCTGCACGGCGATGCTGGGATTTGTTGGTGGCAGAATAACCCAGCAGTAATTTAGAGCCTTACTTGTACGTGTCTGTGTGATTTGTAAAGAATTTAATGTAATGTTTCTCTCTGTGCAAAGAGCACAGAGGGCAAGGGCACAGCCCCTGGGACTGCCATTCCTGCCCATGGTACCCCTGTCCGTGTGCCAGCCCTGCTCGCTGCCTGCGTGGCGATGCTGGGGTTTGTTGGTGGCTAAATAACCCTGTAATAATTTAGAACCTTATTTGTGCATGTCTGTGTGATTTGTAAAGAATTTAACGTAATGTTTCTCTCTGTGCAAAGGCTCTGCTGGAACAGGGCATGGGCAAGGGTACAGCCCCTGGCACAGTCACCTCCTGTCCCTGTCCTGTGTGATGGGACAGCGTTTAGCACCACCTGATTTCCCTCTTTGAAAAGGCTCTGCTGGAAGGGTTTGGCATTTTGAAGTGCTGGAAGGGTGATTCTAAAAACTTGATTTTCCCTGGAATTCCTGTGGACATCCAAGATCTTTTTGTAGAAGGGTTTGGCACTCTGCACTGCTGGAAGGGTGGTTATGAAAACTTGATTTTCCCTGGAATTCCCGTGGATCTCAAAGGTCTTTCTCTGGAAGGGTTTGGCACTCTGCAGTGCCGGAAGGGTGATTCTGAAATCCTGATTTTCCCTGGAATTCCTGTGGATATCAAAGGTCTTTTTCTGGAAGGCTTGGGTGCTCTGCAGTGCTGAAAGTGTGGTTGTGAAAACTTGATTTTCCCTGGAATTCCTGTGGACATCCAAGATCTTTTTCTAGAAGGGTTTGGCACTCTGCAATGCTGTAAGGGTGGTTATGAAAACTTGATTTTCCTTGGAATTCCTGTAGATCTCAAAGGTGTTTTGCTGGAAGAGTTTGGCACTCTGCAGTGAAGGGTGGTTCTAAAATCCTGATTTTCCCTGAAATTCCTGTGGATATCAAAGTTCTTTTCCTGGAAGACTTTGGCACTCTGCAGTGCTGGAAGGGTGGTTATGAAAACTTGATTTTCCCTGGAATTCCTGTGGATCTCAAAGATCCTTTTCTGCAGGGTTTGGCACTCTGCAGTGCCGGAAGGGTGATTCTAAAAACTGAATTTTCCTTGGAATTCCTGTGGACATCCAAGATCTTTTTCTGGAAGGCTTGGGCATTCTGCAGTACTGGAAGGGTGGTTATGAAATCCTGATTTTCCCTGGAATTCCTGTGGATCTCAAAGATCCTTTTCTAGAAGGGTTTGGAATTCTGCAGTGCCGGAAGGGAGGTTCTAAGATCGTGATTTTCCCCCGGAATTCCTGTGGATTTTCCCCGGAATTCCTGTGGATTTTCCCCGGAATTCCTGTGGATTTTCCCCAGAATTCCTGTGGATCTCAAAGATCCTTTTCTAGAAGGGTTTGGAATTCTGCAGTGCCGGAAGGGAGGTTCTAAGATCGTGATTTTCCCCGGAATTCCTTTGGATTTTCCCCGGAATTCCTGTGGATCTCAAAGATCCTTTTCTAGAAGGGTTTGGAATTCTGCAGTGCCGGAAGGGAGGTTCTAAGATAGTGATTTTCCCCGGAATTCCTGTGGATTTTCCCCGGAATTCCTATGGACATTAAAGGTCTTTCTCTGGAAGGCTTTGGCAATCTGCAGTACTGGAAGGGTGGTTATGAAATCCTGATATCCTGATTTTCCCCGGAATTCCTGTGGATTTTCCCCGGAATTCCTGTGGATTTTCCCCGGAATTCCTGTGCATCTCCCATTCCCTTTCCCCCCAGGTGTCCGTCACCCCAACATCATCTGTGACTGCTGCAAGAAGCACGGCATCCGCGGCATGAGGTGGAAGTGCAAGCTGTGCTTCGACTACGACCTGTGCACGCAGTGCTACATGAACAACAAGCACGACCTGGCGCACGCCTTCGAGCGCTACGAGACCGCGCACTCCCAGCCGTGAGTCATCCCTCCCTCCTTAAGAAGAATAAATAGAAATTTAATGTAATAAATATAAATTTAATATAAATATGATGTATAGTGTAGTATAGTGTAGTATAGTATAGTGTAGTATAATATGGTATGATATGATATGATATAATATGATATGATATAATATGATATGATATAATATGATATGATGTAATATAATATGGTATAATATAATATAGTATAATATAATATACTATATTATATTATATGTAATATTATATATATACACTATATAGTATAGTATAATATAATATGGTATAATATAATATGGTATAATATAATATAGTATAATATATTATAGTATACTATAATATAGTATAATATATTATAGTATAATATATTATACTATATTATATTATATATAATATTATATATATACACTATATAGTATAGTATGATATAATATGGTATAATATAATATAGTATAATATAATATAGTATAATATAATATAATATAGTATAATATAATATAATATAGTATAATATAATATAATATAATATGGTATAGTATAATATAATATAGTATGGTAGAGTATAATATAATATAGTATGGTAGAGTATAATATAGTATATATAATACTATATTATACTCTATATAATATATATAATATATATATTATATATAATATATATTATAATATAATATAGTATAATACAGTACAATACAATATAATATAATTGTTGTATATAATATAATTGTTGTATGTAATATAAACATGAGTTTATAATGAATATAGAATAATAAAATATAGAAATAAGAATAAAAAATCGAAATAAAATAAAAATATAAGAGAAAAGAAAGAGACATAAAGAGAAAAGAAAAATATAAATATTAAACAATGAATAAAATAAAAATATAAGAAAAAATAGAAATTAAATAAAACTAGAAAAATATAACAGAAAAGGAGACAAAGAGAAAAGAAAAATATAAATATTAAACAATAAATACAATAAAAATATAAGAAAAAATAGAAATAAAATAAAACTAGAAAAATATAAGAGAAAAGAAAAAGAGACATATAAAGAGAAAATAAGAGATAAGAAAAATATAAATATAAAATATAAATAAAATAAAAATCTAAGGGAAAAGGAAAATATAAAAATATAAATAAAATAAAAATCTAAGAGAAAAGGAAAGTATAAAAATAAAAATATAAAAATAGAAGAGAAATGACAAAGAGACATATAAAAAACTTTAAAACATCTACAACATAGTGGGCCAAAAAGCTAAGAAACCAAGAAACACTTAGAGTGTTTTATAATTAAAAAATAGTCAACTTCTAATTGTAATAAATTATAACATCTGTATACTCTCACCCTTCTCATAAAACTAAAAATAAAAGTTTTTAAAAATTTTAAAAGTTTTTAAAACTCTCAGTGACCCCATCCCTTAGTAAAAAATAAAAATAAAAAACCAAATTCAAAATTCCAATGTAAGTAAAAAAGATGGGTGCCCTGTGTGAGGCAAGGAGGCAGCTCTGGCTGTCAGCCCTGCCTCAGGCACTGCAGATCTTTTCAAGAACTGAAATTTCCTGCCTGTGACTCACTGGGGCCATTGCTCACATCACTCATCTCTCTTTCTTTTTTCTCTTTTTTTTTTTTTCCTTCTAAATAAAGTAGACAATAAAACCCTTGGCAGCTCCTTAGGGACAAAGGGAGAAAATCAAAGTATTTTCTTCTGGTTTTTTTTCATCTTCTAAGTAAAGTAGAGGAGAAAACCTGTGGCAGTTCCTTAAGGACAAAGGGAGGAAATCAGAGTATTTTCTTTTTTTGCCTTCTAAGTAGAAGATGGAACCTTTGGCAGTTCTCAAGGATAGGAAGAGAAAATCAGAGTATTTTCTTTTTTTTCCTTCTAACTAAAGTAGAAGATAAAACCTTTGGCAGTTCCTTCAGGACAAAGAGAGAAAATCAAAGTATTTTCTCTTTTTCCTTCTAAATAAAGTAGAAGGAAAAAAAGAAGAGAAAAAAAGAAGAGAAAATCAGAGTGTTTTCTTCTATTTCTTTTTTCTTTCTAAGTAAAGTAGACAATAAAACCTGTGGCAGTTTCTTAAGGACAAAGAGAGAAAATCAAAGTATTTTCTTTTTTTTCCTTCTAAATAAAGTAGAAGGAAAAAAAGAAGAGAAAAAAAGAAGAGAAAATCAGAGTATTTTCTTCTATTTTTTTTCTTTCTAAGTTAAGTAGAAGAGAAAACCTTTGGCAGTTCCTTAGGGACAAAGAGAGAAAATCAAAGTATTTTCTTTCTTTCTTTCCTTCTAAATAATGTAGACAATAAAACCTGTGGCAGTTCCTCAGGGACAAAGAGAGAAATTCAGAGTGTTTTCTTTTTTTCCTTCTAAATAAAGTAGAAGAGAAAAAAAGAAGAGAAAAAAAGAAAAAATAAGAGAAAATCAGAGTATTTTATTCTATTTTTTTTTCTTTCTAAGTAAAGTAGACAGTAAAACCTTTGGCAGTTCTTTAAGGATAGGAAGAGAAAATCAGAGTATTTTCTTGTTTTGCCTTCTAAGTTAAGTAGAAGAGAAAACCTTTGGCAGTTCCTTAGGGACAAAGAGAGAAAATCAGAGTATTTAAGGAGTCAGTGGTAAATGCTGGGTGGATTTTGGGTTTTGTTGAGCTCCTTTGGGTTCCTCCTTTCCCTGGCAGGATTTGGGGTCCTTTGGTCCCTCACAGATTCCTGCCGCTCTGCCAGAGCCCTGCTTGCAGCAGGTCAGTAATTCAGGATTTGGGGGATTTAATGCAGGATTTAGGGGATTTAACCCCAGGCAGGCCCTGCAGAGGTTCCAGTCAGTCTCTAAAGAGGCTTTGGTGACACCTTTACCTGCAGAGCTGTTTCAGCTCCTAAAATGACCTGAGGTTGAACTTTAGGGCATAGCAAGTGCTGATTTTTTTTTAAATTTTGCTATTTGGGGTAATCTCTTCCTGACCTCCTAATTTGTTATTTTTTATTGTTATTTTTATTTATTTTATTATTGCTTAGATCACTCATCTCTCTTTTTTCTTTTCTTTTGTTTTTCTTCTAAATAAAGTAGAAGATAAAACCTTTGGCAGTTCCTTAAGGACAAAAAGAGAAAAACAAAGTTTTTGTTATATTTATATCATCTTTATATTATATTATATATTTTTATTATATTTCTATAATAAATATAATGAATATATACTATATTATATATAATATTATATATACTATATAATATATACTATATTATACATAATATTATATATAATATACATTACATATGCTATACTATATATTATATACTATATATTATATATTAGATATTATAAATAGAATTATATATATTATACATAATACATTATATTTTATATTATATACCATTTTTATATTTATATAATAAATATAGCAAATATATACTCCATTATATATAATGCCATATATTTTATACATTATATACTATATATTATATACTATATATACTATATATGATATATTAGATATTATGTATGATATATATAATATTATATATTTTATATATTATATATATTATACATAAAATATTATACATATAATATTTCTATAATATTATTTTTATTTCTTGTTTCGTTTGGATTTTATGGCTCCTGTGGTAGAGCCTCTCATCCTTGGCTGAAAGGACGGAACTGAGTTTTACTGAAGAGCTTTTTTCAGGGCTGTTGTATCCATTTCCTGAATATTTGCTGAATAATTGGGAGATAAATCAGTGTCTGTGAGCAGAGCAGGGCAGCAAAGCAAAGCTCATCAGTTTTCTCTTAGGGCTGGAAAATTCAGGCACATTCTGGTGAGTTCTGCAAAAAAAAAAAAGGAAAAAAATCTGGATAAAGGAAAATATCTGGATAAAGACAGTTCCTGAAATATGTTTCTGTTATCAAACCTGAGATAATCTCATACAAAATGTTAATGTTGTTCTATTCCCATGCAACACCAACATTTTGCTTGGATCACCTGCTCAGGGCTGGGCTGAATTTCAGATGTGGAATAATTTACCCAGGTTATTTTCTGGCCTTTTCTCACCAATAAATCACAACCTCAGTGGTTTTTCACAAGCCTTGTTTTTTATTTTTTATTTTTTTCCTGGCAAACAATGGAGCTGGAGGAGCCAGCGAGCTGCGCAGGGAAATGTTTTGTGCAATCAAGCACAAGAAATACAAATATTTTCTCCCATTGTGCTTTATCCTGTAGTCAAAACAGAAATTGCAGTTATTTTCAGCTGTAATTCTTAAACCAGCTCTGGCTGGTGGAGTTGGAAATCAGATCCAGGAACAAGTGTGTGCTCTGATTTAGGTCTGGGCAGTTTCAATAACCCAAATTCCCATCTGTGGCTCTGGGAGCTGAGCTGATCCAGCAGCTGAGTGACAACTGCTGGGTGTTTGATTTCTGGGCAATAATATAAATAATGTAAATTATTTACACAGCAACCTCCTCAGCAGGTGGTATTTTTAACTATTTATTTTAAACTTTGTTTAAAAGAAATAGTTAATAAATAGTTTAATAATAGTTTTTTAACATTTGAGCTAAGGAATTTGGGTGAGGAATGTTTGGAATCAAATTAATTTTTTTAATATGGATTTATTTTTTTTAATCTATTAATGGATTGGTATTTTACTTTAGAGAAATTTTATTTTATGGAAAGAACCACCATAATTTGCCAGATATACTACCTTAAAAAACCCCAACCATGAGCACCAAGGTGTATTTTGATACTGGGCTTCCCTTGTGTAATTTGGATTATTCTGTTTCATTTCTAGAACAGGGATTGACATATTATATATAGACATATTCAATGACATATTTTATCTTTATCTTTGCTGGAATTACATGATCAAAACTTCAAGCAAGAGAAACTGACCCAGCTTTGGCTGGGTTTTGAGCTAATAATGAAATTTGGAAGATGATAAAATGACATTTTCACTCTGTGTGCTCAGTGGTGTTTCTGCATCCCCTCAGTGCAATATTCTGCTTTTTAATGCTCTGTGGGAACATCTCTGAGTGAAAATCTGTCTGCAGGAACCTTTTTAGTTCCCATTTTCTAGCCTTGGTCTGAAACCTTCCCTGCTGTGGCTTTTCAGAGCAGGAATTGATCCAAATTACTTTGGGGGTTACCAAAAAACCCACAGCTTTTATTGATAATGATGTGTTATAAGGCTGGTTTTGTCAATAAATATGTCCTGTCATGGAAGGAGAGGATTGAAAAGGAAAAAATCTGGGTAAAGGCAGCTCCTGAAATAGGTTTCTGTGATCCAAATTACTTTGGGGGTCACAAAAACCCACAGTTTTTACTGATAAAGATGTGTTATAAGAATATCCACATTTATGATATAAGGGTACAGCTGGTTTTGTCATGAACTTTGCCTTGTCAAGGATGGAGAGGATTGAAAAGGAAAAAATCTGAATAAAGGCAGCTCCTAAAATTGGTTTTGGGATCCAGATTACTTTGGGGTTACCAAAAAACCACTGGTAATTAATGTGTTTTAAGGATACAGCTGGTTTTGTCGTGAGCTGTGTCTTGTCAAGGAAGGAGAGGATTGCAAAGGAAAAAATCTGGGTGAAGGCAGTTCCTGAAATAGGTTTTGGGATCCAGATTACTTTGGGGGCTACAAAAACCCACAGTTTTTACTGATAAAGATGTGGATATAAGGATATCCACATGTATGGCATGTATGGTATAAGGATACAAATTATTTTGTCATGAACTGTGTCTTGTCAAGGAAGGGGAGGATTGAAAAGGGGAAAATCTGGTTAAAGGCAGTTCCTGAAATAGGTTTTGGGATCCAGATTACTTTGGGGTTACCAAACACTACTGTTAATTAATGTGTTTTAAGGTTACAGCCTGCTTTGTCAATAAATGTGCCTTGTCATGGATGGAGAGGATTGAAAAGGAAAAAATCTGGGTGAAGGCAGTTCCTGAAATAGGTTTTGGGATCCAGATTACTTTGGGGTTACCAAAAAACCACTGGTAATTAATGTGTTTTAAGGATACAGCTGGTTTTGTCATGAACAGTGCCTTGTCAAGGATGGAGAGGATTGAAAAGGGGAAAATCTGGGTGAAGGCAGTTCCTGAAATAGGTTTCTGTCATCCTGATCTCAGTCTGGTTCCTGCCTGAGCAGCCAGCAGCCATCTGTCAGAAGTGTCTCCTTTATCCTCTGCTGGAAGAGTTTCAGGAGAAGCTTTGCTGGGGGGATTAGAAAACCTGGAATTTCTTGCTTTGAGGTCACTTTTGTCTGTAGTTCTACAAGAAATTCATGATTTGGCTTTTCTGGAGGTGAATCTTTGTGTGTGCTGGCTGGGATGTGGGTTTGTGTCTCCCAGGAGCTGAAAATCTGGTTCAGGGCTATGCCTTTGTGAAGGGATGAATGTGATATTTATTTATTATCACAGGTTTATGGGCTGCCACCTTACAGGGTGACCATCCCTTCTACTTCTTGGTCCTCTTAATTGTGTTTATTTCTTCAGATAAGAACTTTGTGCATGAGAAAAATGTCACAAAACACATCGACCATGTTATGTAGAGTGGTGTGAGGGAGCTCTGGCTTGCTGCTGCAAATTTAAAAGAGTTTTTGTTTTAATTTCTCCAGATGAATCAATTTGGAGGGATTAATGTGATATTTATGGCCTGCCACCTTACAGGGTCCTCTTAATTGTGTTTCTTATGTTTATTTCTTCAGATAAGAACTTTCTGCAGCAGAAAAATCCCACTAAACACATCAGCCATGCCTGGTGTGAAGGAGCTCTGGCTTGCTGCTGCAAATTTAAACTTCTTTTTGTTTGAATTTCTCCAGATCAGTGGATTTGGATCTGCCATCCCTCTCTTTAAAGCAGGGCTCATGCTGCTGTCCCAGGTGCAGCTCAGGGATGTCAAAACCCAAATCAGCACCTCAGAGGAGCTTGAGCAGGCAGAGCATCCCCAGGGAGGGGTTCCCAGAGAGCCACAACTTCATTCTGGACAGTTCATGCTCCCGAGTGCTCTCTGGGCCCTGCAGTGATTTAATATCCTTGGAATTCGTAGGGCAGGAGTGGCTGCAGACTTGCGCTGTCATAATTAAATTTGTTATTAAAGGCAGCACCACGGTGATTAAATTTATCCCAGGGGTATTTTTGCATCACACTGGGTAACTTTGGTGGTTATGCAGTATTTGGAGCAAAACATTGAATTAGATTAAAACCTTGATAAGAATCTTTGGCTGAGGAGATTTGGTGCTTGCATCAGAATCAGGGTCAGAATTTTGGTGAGGCTGGGGAAGGAGGGCACTTCTGGCCCCAGAATTTCAGCAGGACAGGAGATGGAGTTTCTTACAATTTCCTTTTTTAAGGAAACTCAGCTTTCTAAATTGATCAGCTTTTTTTTTTTGGTCTCCATGCACAAATTTCAGAGGAGGTGGCAGGTTAATGTGAGAGGGTTGAGCTGGGGGATGACTGCTGTTACATGATAATCCAAAAAGGGAACTTCTGCTAAGAATAGAATGAGGGGTGGATATTTTGCTATTTAAACATCTTAAGCTCAGCTTGGTGCTTTATTTTACTATCACTAAGAATCTTTGCATTGAATCCCATCCCTTGTGAGAGGAGGCTTTGGAAGAGAGAATTATATTTTTATCACTTTGTCTCGGGGCTTGGCTCAGACATCTTTGATAAATTATTAGAAAAACATTGAACAAAATGCAGTGAAGACATCCAGGCTGCTTCAGAGGCTCTACCCAAATCCATGCTGGTTTTTGAAGCCAGTCTGTAGTGCCTGACAGTGCAATAAAATGAATGCTGAGCAGTGGCTCTTTATAGCTGAGCCTTTCCCTCCACTGTCATTATCTTCTTTCATAACAATATCCAGCCTTGATGGTGCTTAAAGCAGACAAAATCTCCTTCATTTTCCTCCTGCTGAGCTCCAGCCTGGCTAATTAATGAATATTAATTATTAGTGGTTATAACAGCAAGGCATAAATAGTCCCTCCCTCTTTTGAAACCCACAGGGTTGTAAACCACAGGTTAAGAAAAGTAAAAGACTTAAGCATTTGCTGGATAAGTAAACATTAAGTTCAAGCCTAAGCTTTTTATCCTCCTGAGTCCCCACCTTCCCTCTGGAGGTATTAGATGGAAAAGAAATGCTCTGAGGTCAGCCCTGCCCCAGGAAGCTTCCCCTCCCTCCCTCCCCTTGCCCTGTGCAGCAGCTGCTGAACTTGGGCTGCCCTGTCTGGGCTGGGGCTTGCCAGGAGCCTGTCTGGCTCCAGGGCATGGATTGGGGCACCTGGAAAAGGGATTGTGGCCTGAAAAGGGGTTGTGGCCTGAAAAGGGATTGTGCCTAGAAAAAGGATTGTGCCTAGAAAAAGGATTGTGCCCTGGCTGAGCAGACAAGCAGGACCCTGTGGATTTTGGTGGCTTGGAGACTGATGAGAAGGAATTTTGGATTGTACCCTGGATGAGCAGCCAGGCAGGTCCTCGTGGATTTTGGTGACTGATGAGAAGGCTTTGTGGATTGTACCTTGAAAAGGGATTGTGCCCTGGATGAGCAGCCAGACAGTCCCTGTGGATTTTGGTGGCTTTGTGGATTGTACCCTGAAAAGGGATTGTACTCTGGCTGAACAGCCAGGCAGTCCTCGTGGATTTTGGTGGCTTGGAGACTGATGAGAAGGAATTTTGGATTGTACCCTGGCTGAACAGCCAGGCAGGTTTCTGTGGATTTTGGTGGCTTTTTGGACTGTACCCTGAAAAGGGATTGTGCCCTGGGTGAGGAGCCAGGCAAGACCCATGGATTTTGGTGACAGATGAGAAGGCTCTGTGGATTGTACCTTGAAAAGGGATTGTGCCTTGTCTGATCAGCCAGACAGTCCCCATGGACTTTGGTGACTGATGAGAAGGCTTTGTGGATTTTATCCTGAAAAGGAATTTTGCCCTGGCTGATCAGCCAGACAGTCCCCGTGGATTTTGGTGGCTTTGTGGATTGTGCCCTGGATGAACAACAAGGCAGTCCCTGTGGATTTTGGTGGCTGTTTTGATTGTACCCTGAGGGAACAGCCAGACAATCCCTGTGGATTTTGGTGGCTGTTTTGATTGTACCCTGAGGGAACAGCCAGACAATCCCTGTGGATTTTGGTGGCTGTTTTGATTGTACCCTGAGGGAACAGCCAGACAATCCCTGTGGATTTTGGTGGCTGTTTTGATTGTACCCTGAGGGAACAGCCAGACAATCCCTGTGGATTTTGGTGGCTGTTTTGATTGTACCCTGAGGGAACAGCCAGACAATCCCTGTGGATTTTGGTGGCTGTTTTGATTGTACCCTGAGGGAACAGCCAGACAATCCCTGTGGATTTTGGTGCCTTGCTGGCTGATGAGAAGCCTTTGTGGCAGCCTGGGCACAGCAGAGGGGCTGCCTCTGTGACATTATGGGCATTGGGAGCTGCTTTAACAGGACATCAGACCCCCTGTTCACCATCACGTAGGTGCCTCTCTCCTTCTCCCTGCATTGGGGGGGTCTGTGCTGGGCTGGGGGTGCAGGGCAGGGCTGGGGGAGCCCGGAATGTTCCAGAATTCCACAGCCCTGCTGCTCTGAGTCTCTGCTTGCAGAATGTGCGGAGCTCCATCCCTGCCCCCTTGCAGGGCCACCCCAGAAATTCCATTACCCTGAAGTGAGGGGTGTCCTCAGCTGGAGCAGAGCTTTGGCACTTCTGTAACAACAATAAATTAATTTGTTCCTCTGGTTTTGTTTTTGCAGGGTCCTCGTGAGCCCTCGGCAGAACCTGACTCGCATCACCCTCAAAGGGACTTTCCAGGGGGCTAAAGTGGTCCGTGGGCCTGACTGGGAGTGGGGCAACCAGGATGGTAAGCTGCCTCAGGGATGGCCTGTAGAATTTGATTTTTTAAATATATTTAAAAATATATATATTGAAAATCTTTAATTTTTAGTATATTTTTATTTTATAGTTTATAGTTTAATTTATTTAATATTTAATGGCTTTATTTTCTTTTATATTTTGTATTTCCATTTTAATTTATATTTTATATTCATATTATTTTTTATTTTTACATTTTAATTTTAGTTTGTATTCTATATTTATGTTTTCTTTTTATAATTTATATTTTAAATTTTATTTTTATTTATATTTTATATTATCATATTTATTTTTTATATTTATTGTTCATATTTATATTTCTATATTTATAATTTATATTTCTATTTTATTCCTATTTATATATTTATTTTTTAAAATAGATAGCTCTTTATTTATATATGGTTTTTTAGTTGATTTTGGGGTGTAGTTCCTGTCCTGTTTCTGTAGGAATTGAAACCTGGCTGAGACTGCAGTGGGACAAAAATGGTTTTTTAAAGCTGCTTTTGGGGTGTAGTTCCTGTCCTGCTTTCTGTAGGAATTGAAACCTTCAGGCTGAGAATGTAGTGGGACAAAAATGTTTTTTTAAACTGTTTTTTGGGTGTAGTTCCTGTCCCCAGGTCAGTGACAGCAATTGCTCCAGGGCTGAGGGAGCTTTCCTGCCCCTTTGTCCCAGAGCCCTGCACACACCCTGTGATGTTTACAGCTCCTTTTCCCCCTCAGGAATTAAGTCAAAAGTTCAAAGGTTTCCAGAGTTGACTCTGCCATTTATTGCAGCTCTGGGTTCAGGGGAGGATGTGGATCCTTGCAGGGTCTGAGAGGAAATAATCAGCTTATTCTCAATACAGCTTATCCATCCTCTGGAGATCACAGCAGCATTTACATGTCTGAGACTGGTGCTGCTGACAGTGCTGCTGACCTGGGCAGGAGCAGAGAGAGGAACCCTAAATCCACCCCTCAGCTGCTCTCTGCTGGGAAAAAAGAAATTAGGAATTTAATTTCTTTAAATGGGATAACTGAATCTGAAATTAAACAGAGTTTAAATGGGATAACCCAGAATTTAACTGGATAGCTATAGCTCCAGCACTGGTTCTGGATAAATCTGGATAAATCATTTAAATATCTCCCTGGGAGTGAAAAATAAGCTGTTAAGATACACATTGCAAGAATTCTGGCTCTGGTTTTGGTGGAGCTGCCCCAGCCACAGCCATGGGCTTGTCATGAGTAGAACTGCCAGCAAAACCCAGAAACCTTTGCATTGTGCTGATAAATGAGTTCAGCTCCTTCAGATGTTGCATTTCAGGACTATGCAGATAATCAGAAGTTCCTCAGTGAGACAGATCTTGCTGTCCTTGTTTGGAGAAGTCCTGGGGAAGCGTTGGGACTTGCCCAAATTGGGAATCTGCAAACCCTGATTGCCTTCACTGTGTTGTCTCTTGGATCAGAGCACAGAGTCCCAGTGCCCAGCCAGATCCACCTCCCCACATCCATCCTCCTCTTCTGCATCCTTCAACCTCCTTGCTTGAAGAAATCCAAGTTTATTTGGTGTTCCTCCACCTGGATGGGTTTGGAGAGGTTTAAAGATCCTGGGTGGATCTTTAGCACTTGGATCTTGCACATGGGTGGGGTTGGAGAGATTTAAAGATACTGGGTGGATCTCTAACAGTTGGATCTTGGATCTTGCAGCACCTGGATGGTGCTGGGGAGAGATTTAAAGGTTCTGGGTGGATTTTTATTACTTGGATCTTGGATCTTGCAGCACATGGATGGGACTGGGGAGAGATTTAAATATTCTGGGTGGATTTTAGCACTTGGATCTGGATCTTGCAGCACTGCTGAGTATTTTTGTTGCCACAGTGTGGTGCCATGACACCACGTGTGCATTCCCCAACTAGGCCGTGCTCCTGCACACCAGGAATCCTCCACAGAATCATTCCAAAATCAACTTTAACACAGAGATTCCCTCCCAATCACCCAAAATGAGTTGTCCGTGATCCAATTTTCCTGATTTGCCCTTCTTTTCCCCTCAGGGGGTGAGGGTAAGACCGGCCGCGTGGTCGATATCCGGGGCTGGGACGTGGAGACCGGCCGCAGCGTCGCCAGCGTCACCTGGGCCGACGGAACCACCAACGTCTACAGGGTGGGCCACAAGGGAAAGGTGGACCTCAAATGCACTGTGGAGGCTTCTGGGGGCTTCTACTACAAGGAGCACCTCCCAAAATTAGGTGGGTTTGGAGACAAATCTTTGCTGGGCGAAGTCTTTGTTGAGGAGTTGTGATTCACGCGGCTGTTGGCGCTGAAGCCATTTTTAGTTTGGAAGACAAAACCACCTCCTTATTTTTCTAAATTTCCTACATAATGAGGTTTATTTGAGAGAATTTGGTTTGTGTGTGAACATCCTGCTTGATCTCAGAGTGATTCATGAAGTAGTTTGGACTTTCAGGGTTAAAACCACCAGTTGTATCCCAAGGAATGCAACCTCTGCTGGAAATGCAGGAAATTCCCTCTCTGCTGCAGAGAATCCAACTTTTCTCACTTCTGTTACATTTGTCAATCCAAAGCTTTTCATTCTTCAGGCAAGCTGGTGTTCACTGTGCTTTTAGAGAGCAAACACTCCCTTGATGGAGCCGAAAGGGGGAATGTGACCAAAGGGAGAATTTGGAGAATGGAACAGCCAAAAATTAGAAAAAAATTATGGGAAAATGGGATGTCTGAACTGGCAACTTGCTGCAATCCCCCTTTCCTCTGAAGTCCAAGAAAACTCCTTGTGTTTTTGGACTTGACGTTTTTTTTTTACCCATTTGGCTGTGGGGTTATTTTTTCTTTTAATGAGGTGCAGGAACCATCTTTGTCTCCCCTGAGGGAAAACAGGGGGGTCTGTTCTGGTGTTTGCAGCAGCACAATCAGGGTTTTTATCAGATAAAACTTATCAAGCAGACTTTTCCCAGCCCTTCTCAAACTTTTCTCTCCCTGAGCACCTTGGCAAGAGCATGAGGAGAGGGAAGGGTTGGATGAGGAGATGAATTCCAGGGGTATGGATGCATGGGATGGGTGGGAGGGTAAGGAACTCCTCAGAGAGGGGGGGAGAACTAATTTTGGGTGCTGTGTGGGCATGTCTGAACAGCACTTGTGGGTGAGTGGATTGCTAAGGACAGCTCCTGGTGTCTGCCACGGCCTGAGAGGCATTCACAGGGACAAAATAGCTCTTGTTAGAGCTGTTTTATTAATATAGTTTAATTCTATATTTTTATACATATAAAATGTAAGTTATACTAATATAATTTATATCAATAAATATAAATATATTTTTATTTTATTAATATAATAATTTATATTAATAAAATATATAGATGATATTTATGTGTATAAAATCTGCATAATTATAATTATGTAATTATACACTGTTTTGTTAATATGGTGTAATTACAATGGAATTGTAATTGTAAAATTGTAACTTGTAAAATAGAATTGTCATAGAATTTAATTATTAATTTAATTAGAGTTAAATCCTACAGATTTCTCTGCTGCCCTATAGAGTGTATAGGGCATAAAAAGGGGTTTTAATATAGTGTAATTACAATAGAATTGTAATTGTAAGATAGTAAATTGTAATATAATGTAATTATTAGTAGAATTGGAGTTAAATCCTACTGATTTCTCTGCTGCCCTATAGAATGTATAGGGCATGAAAAGGGGTTTTAATGTAGTGTAATTATAATAGAATTGTAATTGTAAATTGTAAAATAGAATTGTAATATAATGTAATTTTTAATATAATTAGAGGTAAATCCTACTGATTTCTCTGCTGCCCTATAGAGCGTATAGGGCATGGAAAGGGGTTTTAATATAGTGTTAATTACAATAGAATTGTAATTGTAAATTGTAAAATAGAATTGTAATAGAATGTAATTATTAATATAATAAGAGTTAAATCCTACTGATTTCTCTGCTGCCCTATAGAGTGTATAGGGCATGAATAGGGTTTTGCAGCATTCTGCCCCAATTAAAGTTAATTTTCAGTCATTTTAAGGCACCCAGGGTGTGTGAGTGCCCCCTTTATGCCTGTGGGTGCTGCCCTATGGAGTGTATAGGGCATGAAAACGGTTTTGCTCCATTCTGCCCAAATTAAAATTAATTTTCAGCACTTGTGAGGCACCCAGGGTGTGTGAGTGCCCCCTGCATGCCTGTGGGTGCTGTCCTTGTTCTCCCCAGGGAAACCAGCAGAGCTGCAGAGGAAGGAGAGCACAGACAGACATCCCTTCCAGCACGGGGACAAGGTGAAGTGCCTGCTGGACATCGACATCCTGCGGGAGATGCAGGAGGGCCACGGGGGCTGGAATCCCAAAATGGCTGAGGTGAGTGCCTGGCTGCAGTCCCAGCCTCTCCCTCCTTCTGCACTGCTCAGGAAATCACCAGAACATCTTTGGGTGACCTCAAGAGTTGAACTGAATCACAAATGCAGATTTTTTTAGTGATAGGACGCTGGAGTCAGAGTTATTTTTAGGTTTTGTTGGATGAAAATGGCCTCGTGGATCTTTGCAAAAGTCTTAGAAGCAAAAAAAAAAAAAATCAGTCTGGATTGTTTGTTTTTAAATGAGCCACGAGTTTTCTTTGCTGATCTGGATCCATTCCTTGTTTGGCTTCTTTTGTGCTGTGCATTACTGGTAATTAAAGTTTGTGTTTTGTCAACACTGGGCTCTGTCCTTGGCCAGGGATAAAATTTCTCAGCCCATATCAGATTTTTGGAGCTTAGTCTTGCCTTTAAATTAAAGAGCCATCAGTCTGCTGTCACCTGTTGTTTTAAAAAACCCCAGAGAGTGGAGGAATAAAGATAGAAATGGCATTTATTACTGTAAATAGCATGAATAAATACCATAAAATTTTAAGATATGTTAAATATCTATCTTGGCCTAACCTCCCCTATAGGTGAGGAGACTTTTTGAAACCAGGCTTTAAATTAATGTCAAGGCAAACTCTGTTATTTCAGTTTCAATGTGGAAAACTTTTAACTGAAATCTTTTAACTGAATTATTTTAACTTTTTTGGGTCTTTTTTTTCAGCCTGGCAGGCAGGAACTTGGCATCTTCTAATGAACTTTAACATAGCTGCCAGTGGAGCCATGAGCTTTTTTAATTCCAGCTCAGGAATTAGATTTTGGGTGTTGCTGTGTCTTTGCTGGTTATTAAATCTCTGTGCTCCTGAATTCCTGGTTTTGGGGAATGCAGGGGTAGAGAGGGATATCAAACAGAGGAACAGGAACCTCTGTCACCTCAGAAATTGGCATTTTTTTCCCTCTTTATAAACCATGAGCTGCTCAGAACCTGATCTAGAACCCTGCATCGCACAATGGGATTAATGGAAACATGCAGAATTTAGGACTCACAGGAATTTAGGGCTTGGAAATGCTGGGATAAATGGAAAAATGAAAATTTAGGTTTGGGAAATGATGGGATGAATGGGAAAAGAGAGAATTTAGGACTCACAGGAATTTAGGATTGGAAAATGTTGGGATTAACAGGAAAATGCAGAATTAGGATAGGGAAATGCTGTGATTAACAGGAAAACGCAGCATTTAGGATCGGGAAATTTGGGATTAACAGGAAAATATGGAATTTAAGACTGACAGAATTTAGGACTTGAAAATATTTGGATTAACAGGAAAATGCAGAATTTTGGACTGGGAAATGCTGGGATTATTGGGAAAATGCAGAATTTAGGACTCGCAGGAATTTAGGACTTGGAAATCCTGAGATTCACAGGAAAATCCAGAATTTAGGACTCACAGGAATTTAGGACTTGGAAATCTTGAGATTCACGGGAAAAATCCAGAATTTAGGTCTGGCAAATGCTGGGATTAATGGGAAAATGCAGAATTTAGGACTGGGAAATGCTGGGTTTGCATGAAAATCCAGAATAAAGATGTGGGAGCAGCGTGGATGGGAAATGCTGGGTGATTTAGCTTTAGACACCCTCTTTCCCCACTGGGAGAGAAGATGATTTATCAGAAGCTTTCCTCTGTTGTGTTTCTGTCCCCAGTTCATCGGGCAGACGGGGACGGTGCACAGGATCACGGACAGGGGGGACGTGAGGGTGCAGTTCAACAGTGACACCCGCTGGACCTTCCACCCCGGAGCCCTGACCAAGGTGAGTGCTGGCAATGCTGCAGCAGGTCACTGAACCTCAGAGTGTCCCCAGAGGTGCTGAAGGAACAGTCTTCTTAACACAATTGTTCTATTTTTTAACCTTTTCTATTTGCCACTCCTGAAGGTAAACTGCGTTTCTTAATTTCAGCTTCCAGTTCCTTCATCCTTCCGCAGCTGCCTTGTCCTTCTGATGAACCTTTTCTCCAATAATTTCCCTTTGATTTTTTTTTTGTTCTTCCTTGTTTTGTGTCTCCACGTTGTTCTTTTTTGCATCTTTGTCTCACTTCTCTTTGATTTCTTCCCAGTCTTTAATCCAGCCCTTCTAATTTTGTGGCTGCGTTTCTGAAGCTCACAGCTCTGGCTTTCCCCAGAGGTTTGAGGACTTTGAGAAGTGGATAATTAGAAATAGAGATAATTAGGTACAGAAGAAGCTGCTGGAAGACCACAAAATTCTGACCTGAGCAAGGTCAGAATGGTAAAAACTCCCAACACCAGTGGAAAATGCAGCGTCAGAGTGTTTTGCACAAAATCAGTCTGCTCTGAAAAGTCTCTTTTGACACTGCTCCCTTCCTAGCTCAGTGAGCAGAGGGAGCATCTGGCAAATTCCCAGCACAGATAAACCCTGCTTTGCCTTTTCTGTTTGAAACAACAAACATTGAACTTCCTTATTAGAGTGAATTAAAATCTCCAGGGCCAAGCCAGGTGTAAGGAGGAAATGACCAAGAAAATTTCCATGCTTTATCTGGTATTAATAATAAACCAAAAAAAAAGTTAGGAAACTGTTCCAAAATATTGGAACAACTGTTCCAAATTATTTCGCTACTTAAATGTGCACTTGGCTTAAAAGAGAATTGGGTTGTGTTTATTGTCTTGGTAGCTGCATTTATGTTTTGTAATTCTGTTTTTTGACTCAGTGGGTGTCTTGTTTGTTGGGATTTTTGGGAGTGGGGTGGAGGGGGCTGATCACTGTTAATTTTTTGTCTCTGTGTGTGTGTTGCTTCATCCCCCAAAAGCTTATGACTTTCTTTTTCTTGTAGCTCAACACCTTTTGGGTTGGTGATGTGGTCCGGGTGATAGATGATATGGAAACGGTGAAGCGCTTCCAACCTGGTCATGGGGAGTGGACAGATGAGATGGCACCTGTGAGTGTGCTCCAGTTCCAGGACAGTCCAGTAACCTCCTGAGCTTCCCCAAGAAGACATGGGCTTGTCCCCCACCCCAAAATTCCTGCTGGGAAGTCCCTGCCCAGCCCCTGCTGCTGGTGGCTCTCGGTGACGCCGTCGTGGCCACAGCGCCCAAACGGGACAAGGGGAAATCCAACAAAAAGGATTTGGCTGCCACCAACTCATGGGAGAGGTTTCCATCACCAAAGTCTTCTTTGGCTCTCTGGAATGAGGCAGGGAGGTGGAAAAATCAGCCCAGCATGGCTAAAATTGGGATGCAGGTTCCTCTAGGGTGTTTAAGCTCAGAGCAACCATCCCCAGTCCCAGTCTGATAAGTTCTTCTCAGGTTCCTCCAAGAGCAGTTAAAGCTCAGAGGAACCTGTTCCCAATCCCAGTCTGATCAGTTTTTCTCAGCACCTCTCTCCCAGCCATTTCCAGTGTGTCTGGAAAACCCTTCCATGGACAAGGGGGAATCCAACAAAAAGAATTTGGCTGCCACCAACTCATGGGAGAGGTTTCCATCACCAAAGTCCTTTTATCCCCTCCCTGACTCTCTGGAATCAGGCAGAAAGGTGGAAAAATCAGCCCAGCATGGCTAAAATTGGAGTGCAGGTTCCTCCAGGAGCAGTTAAAGCCCAGAGGAACCATTCCCAGTCCCAGTTTGATCAGTTCTTCTCAGGTTCCTCCAGGAACATTAAATCCCAGAGGAACCATCCCCAGTCCCAGTTTGACCAGTTTTTCTCAGCACCTCCCTCCCAGCCATTTCCAGTGTGTCTGGAAAACCCTTCCATGGCAAAGCAGTGAGAGAGAAACTGCTGAGAACCCTCTGGTGTCCTCGAAGTGGGAGCTGTCTGTGAACGTGTCACTTGTCCAGTGCTTCTTTTCACACAGCAGGAGCTGCAGCTTTACCAAAAAATAAACCCCAAAAAACCCCTGGTTTTGGGTCTAGGAATTTTTGCAAAAAATATATTATTTTTTTTCCTTACAGACCCTGGGGCACATTGGGAAGGTGATCAAGGTCTATGGGGATGGAGATCTGCGAGTGTCAGTGGGGGGACAGTCCTGGACCTTCAACCCTGCCTGCCTGACAGCCTACCAGAGGGAGGAGGAGGCCAACCTGATGACCACAGAGAGTGCCAAGGAGCCCAAAAGTGAGGGACAAACAGGGCTGGGAGATCTTTGGTGCAGCTCTTGGGGTGGTGGCAAAACCCAGGTGTTCTTACCTGGGTGGGGAAGTGAAGTTTGGCTGTGATTTACTGGGCAAGCAAAGCTGGGCCTTGGGAAAATGCAGGATTTGGGACTTGGGAAATGATGGGATTAATGGGGAAATGCAGGATTTAGGGCTAACTGGAATTTAGGACTTGGAAATGATGGGATAATGGGGAAATGGAGGATTTAGGACTTGGGAATGATGGGATTACTGGGGAAATGCAGGATTTAGGACTAACTGGAATTTAGGACTGGGAAATGCTGGGATAATGGAGAAATGGAGGATTTAGGAATGATGGCATTAATCGAGAAATGCAGGATTTAGGGCTCACAGGAATTTAGAACTTGGAAACGCTGGGATTAAAGAGAAAATACAGAATTTAGGACTCAATTGAATTTAGGACTTGGAAATTCTGGTATTAATGGGGAAATGTAGGATTTAGGACTTGGAAATGCTTGGATTAACAGGAAAATAAGAATAAAACTTGGCTGTGCCTTACAGGGCAAGCAAAACTGGGCCTTGACAGGAAAATACAGATTTTAGGACTGGGAAATGCTGGGTTTAACAGGAAAATACAGAATTTAGGCCTCAGAATTGCTAAGCACAGCTCTGCCCTAGGCCCAGCATTTGCCTCATCCCTGCTGTGTCTCAGTTCCCTGTTCCATCCTGTTTCCTGTACAAGGACACTGATTCTTGTGAAACACTCCAGGTCTGTGCCTAGAGCTGTTGTGAAATCAACAATTGTTTGGCCTAATGTGCCCTGAAATCGAGTTTGGGATCACATGGCGCATGGAGGGGATTTTTTTTGTGCTTTTCACATCTGTTCAAAATTTTTTTTGTGGCCTGACCATCTTTGTTTCCTCTGAGTGTCAGGATCATGTGGGAGAGAGCACAGACTTGCCAGGATTTCTTTTGTTTTTCTGATAGAGATCTGGAACTGTTTACTCAAATCAGACTTGAGGCAGAACTTGCAAAATTTTTTGACTTTGCACTTCTGACACCCGTGTCCCCTCAAACACTGAGAGATGTGGGGTGACAGGTGAATTTTTTTGTTTTTTCAGGTACTTTGGTGACTGTCCTGGAGAAGCTGCTGTCCCAGAGGACAGAGTCAGAGCATGCAGGGTGCCTGGTCATTTGTGCAGCCCTCAACAATGCAGCTAAAATCCGGGAGCTCCTCCAGAAATACCCAGACAAGGCAAGTTTGGAAGACAAAAATTGCTTATTTTTCCTTTGTTTCCTTTAAAACATCATCATCAAATTTTGTACTCAAGGAGGGAAAAGGATGTGAGGAAAACAATACATTTGTCAGACTTAGTGGTATCTCCCAACAGCTGGAATATTATTTTGCTGCAATTTCTGCAAGGATTGCAGTTGCTGGAAGGATTAAATTCACAAGTTAAATGTGCATATTTTATGCCTCTAGTTTGTGGCAATAAATCTGAACTGAAGCCCTCACAGCACCTTTGGCAAGCTGGTTTTTCCCAGATTTCCTTCAGTTGTAGAGTGAGGGGGAGAGGGGTTTATCTATAGGAAAACAGGAGCAGAAATCAGAGATTTGCTGGAAGAGAAAGGCAGGGCTTGTGTCTGGCTGTGCCTGTCCTTAGAGGACCTTGTAAAAATCACAATGTTGGAATCAGGAGGGAGAAAAGCTGCCCAGATCTGTGCAGTGTCTTATCTCATGTCTGACTGGAGCAGGGAGCTGGGCTGGACGCGTTGCTGGACAATTTCTGTGCTTGCAGAATTCCAAAATGTCAGGATCACATCTCAAAAACCTCCTCCAGGGAGGGGCTCAGGGTTTAGGAACAGGGCAGAAAAAATAGGAACCACCAAATCTTTCAGTATTGTGTCCTTGGAAACCATGAGGACAAAAAGAGGTTTTGTTGGGGGTGTGGTTGTGGGGCTGTGACCCAGGATCAAAAGATTTAATTCTTCTAAACCTGAAGAAGCTGATTTAGTGGTTATTTGTCTGGTATTTATTGTACTTCTTTATTTATAAACTTAAATTTAAGTTTATAAATAAATGCAAATTTATAAATAAGCTTCTGGGAATGGGAAGGAGACACAAATATCTGCAATTCTCAGATTGAGCCCAGATAGGAAAGTCCCAAGAGTAAGGAATCCATGATATGATCATGGATTTTATTAGACTTCGATTTCTATTTAATATTTATATTAATAAATTAGCTGTTATTTTTATTAGTTAGATTTTATTAGACTTCTATTTTTATTTAATATATATATTAATTTATTAGCTGTTTCTGTTAGTCTTACAGAGAGATCAGGCTGGATTTGAGGCTGACTCAGAGCAAGCTGGGATTTCTTGGCAGGGTTTTTCCAGTTTATCAGCTCTGTCTGCCTGGTGTAGATGGAAGAACAGCAGTGACCTCTAATTCCTCTTTGCCCAAAGGACTCTCCCAGCATTTTGAGCCTGTGCAGGGAAGTGCTGCCTCTCCTGTGCTCTGACTGCTGCAGGGATAAAACCTGGATTATTAACTTGTTCTCCTTGCCAATCTGCTGAGGTTTTGTGCCTCCTTCTCCTCTCCTTATCCTCCACTGCTTTCAGAAGCTGCTTTGCCTTTTTTTTGCCTCTTTTCTTCAATGCCTTTAATTCTCCCAAGCTCTCGCTGCAGCACTTGAGCCCTGAGGTGTCCCCTGCACCCCCTGAAGCACCTGCAGCAGCAGCACAGCAGGGACTTGGCACCTCCAGAGCTTTATGCAAAGCTTAATTTGATTTCCTCACCCATTTTCCTCTCAGGAAGGGAATTGTTGGCAGAGCTTTGTGCTCTCAGGCACAGAGTGATTTGGCAGCAGGGCTCTGCAATTACAGAGCTCTGTTCTCTCTAAACATGCTGCCCCTTTCCCCTTCCAGAATGTTCTGGACAAGCTCAGCTGGGCACGGACCCTGTGGCATTTCTGGGCTGTTCCAGGCACAAAAACGAGCTCATGCCCGAATTTCTGTGTCTCTGCCCTTCCCAAAGGTGGATGCCAAGAACCAGGGCAGGACTGCCCTGCAGATTGCCTCTTACCAGGGGCACCTGGAGGTGGTGAGGGCTCTGCTGCAGGCTCATGCCAACGTGGACCTGCGAGACGACGAGGGGGACACGGCGCTGCACTACGCAGCCTTTGGGTAGGACACCTCTGCCACTGACATGCTTTATGAAAACTCTTTTTGTTAAGGTTTTTTCCTCTTGAGAAGCTGAGGGGCTTCAGCTTCTCCATGTTTTGTTGTTTTAGAATGTGATTTGGAGAATTGTTTGCTTAGCATGTAAAATTGTTTTTACTTGGTGACTGCTGACAGCTAATAGTGTCGAGGCTGTGAGTAATCACAAGATTGTATTAATTTTTTTTTTATTATTATTTGCTAGCTTTTTGATGAAATTTTTTTTATTCTTTTAGTATAGTTTTAGTATATAATATATATAATAAAATAATAAATCAGCTCTCTGAGATGCAGAGTTCACATTCTCATCTCTTCCCTCATCCTGGGACCGCTGTGAACATCATCACATACCTCCCCTCCTGCTGGCCCTGATGGAAATAATAATAATAATAACAACAATAGTAATAATTATTCCAACCCTAACAAAAAAAAAACTCCAAATGAAACAAACAAACAAAAACCCCCAAAACCCCCAGGTTTTTTAACACTAAGGGGAAGCGGGGTGGGGCTGAGAGGATACAAAACCTGATTTCTAATTTCTGTTGCTTTGCAAGGAGAAAGAATTGACTGGAATGACTCAAATCTGCTTTTTTCCCTTGCTTTAAACCAGAAACCAGGCTGAAGTTGCCCGTGTGCTGCTGGCCAAGGGGGCCAGTGCAGACCTGCTGAACAACGCCAAGTGCACGGCCCTGTTCGTCGCTGTCAGCCAGGGCTTCACCGAGGTGGTGAGAGCCCTCTGTGAGCTCAACTGTGATGTCAACCTCCCAGTAAGTTTGGCATTATTGCAGGGAGGTGCTGGAGGATTTTTTGATTTTGGTTTTGTTTTCTTTCTGAGGTGGGGAGGTGCTTCTTTATGAGAAAAATTTGATTTACAGCCTCAAGAGAAGCTTAGGTTAATGTAAAAATACAATACACAGACATTAAACAGAAAAATCACAAACTTATAGTTTCTATAGTTGTTTCTATAGTTGTAAGTAAGAATATATCAAGAAGCTGTATTGATAAAATAGTGAAGAGTTTATAATGTAAAAGTGTAGTTATATAAAATAAGCTAAGAATTTAGAAGTTAAAATAGAAACATATATATATATAAAAAGGAGGTTTCCCAGGGGGTTTCCTTGGTCATTTTTAAGGCAGGCAGTGTTGGTGACTTGGACCCAGCCCATTTTAAGAGTTTATTGGTTTTATTGTGTATTATTTATTTATAGGTTTTATTGTGTTGTGTGCTGGGCCATCCCTCAGAGCTGGTCAGGAGTTCCAGCAGCTCCCAGGGGGTTTCCTTGGGGGTTTCTGGGGTTGGTAACCTGGCTTTGCTTTGCTCTCCATGTGTAGGATTCCCAGGGAGACACCCCCCTGCATTATGCCATCACCCTGGACTACAAAGTGGTGATTGAGATCCTCACTGAAGTTCCCAACATCGATTTCACTGTCCAGAACTGTCAAGGCTTCAACCTGCTCCACTATGCTGCCCTGAAAGGCAACAAGCTGTAAGTCACCTTTATTTTTTTTCCATTTTTATGCCTTTTTCAGGTGTTTATTTGTCCTGGCTGGCTGAGGAGGTGGCAGATGTGGTTCTGGGTAGTTGGTTAAATATTTTTTGGGTTTGGATAGGTTCCTTCACAGGAAGCTGCTGCCTGCTTTCCCCATCTTTCTCATGCTTCCCTAGGCTGGGAAATCTCTGTGTGTAGACAGTCTCAGATATTTGGGTCTTAGTAAAGCCTCTGGAACTCTTCCAAAAATAAATCTCCTCATTATTTTCAAAGCAAAGTGGCTTTCCCATACTTTATTAAAGATAACTGAAGGCTTTTGTTGTATTCTTATAACTCTGTGGGTTTGAGGGACTGCTCTTCATTGCTGGTGCCATGGTAAAACATGGACATTGCTGACTCCTGAGCAGGAGAGGCAGAAATTCATTCTTCCATCTTTAATAACTTCTCCAACCCTGCAGAGCCATCAAGAAGATTCTGGCCAGGGCTCGACAGCTGGTGGATTCCAAAAAGGAAGATGGATTCACTGCCCTGCACCTTGCTGCTCTCAACAACCACATGGAAGTGGCTGAAATTCTCATCAAAGAGGTAAGAAATAAAACCAAAATCAAGAAAAAGTTTGTCAAACACTTGTCAGTGAAATTGTCTGACAAATTGGTGCTTCTGTGAGGAGCAGATAACTCAGCTAAACTCAGCAAAGGTGCAGTGGGGTTTGGGAGCTGCCAGGCCCCACATTCCCATTTCTGCAGCCCCATCTCCCCTGGTGCAATTCCTGCTTTTCCAGCGTCCCACGAGGGGTAATTTTACATTATTGACTTTAAAGCATCTACAACATGGTATAACTAAAATTGATAAGCCAAAACCCACTTATTTTATTGTAATTAGGAAATAGTTGACTCCTAATTGTGATGGTGTGAATTATAACATCTGTATTGTCTCACCCTTCTCATAAGACTGAAAATAGAATAAAAGTTTTTAAAACATGTCTCAGCTGCCCCATCTCTGGGTCAGGAAAGGATTTTATTGTCTGACAAATCAGTGTGAGGAGCAGATAGCTCGGCTAAACTCAGCAAAGGTGCAGTGGGGTTTGGGAGCTGCCAGGCCCCCCATCCTGAGTTCTGCAGCCCCATCTCCCTGGTGCAATTCCTGCCCCACATTCCCTGCTGCAATTCCTGCCCCACATCTCCCTGGTGCAATTCCTGCCCCACATTCCCTGGTGCAATTCCTGCCCCATCTCCCTGTGCTGCGATTCCTGCCCCACCTCCCCTGGTTCAATTCCTGCCCCATCTCCCGGTGCTGCAATTCCTGCCCCACCTCCCCTGGTTCAATTCCTGCCCCACATTCCCTGCTGCAATTCCTGCCCCACCTCCCTGTGCTGCAATTCCTGCCCCATCTCCCTGTGCTGCAATTCCTGCCCCACATTCCCTGGTGCAATTCCTGCCCCACATCTCCCTGGTGCAATTCCTGCCCCACATCTCCCTGGTGCAATTCCTGCCCCACATCTCCCTGGTGCAATTCCTGCCCCATCTCCCCCTGCTGCAATTCCTGCCCCATCTCCCTGTGCTGCAATTCCTGCCCCACATCTCCCTGGTGCAATTCCTGCCCCATCTCCCCCTGGTGCAATTCCTGCCCCATCTCCCTGTGCTGCAATTCCTGCCCCACATTCCCTGCTGCAATTCCTGCATTTGCAGGGTCGCTGTGACGTGAACGTGAAGAACAGCAGGAAGCAGAGCCCCCTGCACCTGGCAGTGATCCAGGGCCACGTGGCCATGGTGCAGCTGCTGGTGAGCCAGGGCAGCGATGTCAACGCCGAGGATGAGGATGGTGACACCGCCATGCACATGGCCCTGGAGCGGCAGCAGCTCATGGCCCTGGCCCTGGAGAAGAGGGACGGGGAGATGGGAGCCACCCTCCTGGCCAAGGTGAGCAGGAAACCTACAGAGTGTGGTGTTTTGTGTGGTGTTTTGTGTGGTGTTTTGTGTGGTGTTTTGTGTGTTGGTTTTGTGTGTTGGTTTTGTGCGGGGGTTTTGTGCGGTGGTTTTGTGCGGTGGTTTGTGTGGCGGTTTTGTGTGGCGGTTTTGTGTGGTGGTTTGTGTGATTTTGGTGTTATATATTATATACATTATATATATTTTAATGTGTGTATATATATATTTGTTGTTATATTATAATATATTATATTGCTGTTATTATATTAGAATATATTATAATTTATGTTATATGTTATTATTGTTAGTATATTGTTACAATATATTTCATTATATATTAAGTATGTTGGTATTGTATTGTATTATATTATATTATATTGGACTATATTGGACTATATTGGACTATACAATATATGTTAGTATATATTAATTATATAGTATTTTATTATATGTTAATGATTTTAATGTTTATTATTATTATATTTCATATTACTGATAATTTCTTATGCTTTCTTTCTATTAATTTATTTTGATTTTATTTTTATTCTTATTTTATTTATTATTGTTGTTATGATTTTATTATATTTTATTATTTACTATTATGAATATATTATTATTGCTATTTTAGTTTTATTTTTATTATTGCATTATCATCGTGTTATTGTTATTATTTTATTATTGATATTTTATTTTAGTTTTATTTTTATTATTGTGTTATTGTTGATATTATTTTTATTATTGGTTATTATTTTTATTATTTTTATCATTATTGTTGTTGTTGTTATTGTTATTATTTTGATGCAAATTAGAGCAGAAGCTCAGAAGCTTGGGAATATATTTGAGTGTTTTTCTCAATTTCTTTTAGCTGCAGGCCTCTGGCTTCCTGGGGAACGTGGAGCTGAACGTTGGGACTGCCATTGCCTGCTACCTGGCACAGGAAGGAGCAGACATTAATTATGCAAATCATCGGGGAAAATCTCCTTTGGACCTCACCACAGATGGGACGATTATCCAGATCATCAAAGACTTCTCACAGAAATTCAGGTGAGCCTCAGGAAAAACCCTTGAAAACCAGAATTTCCCGCAGCCCTGGTGCCTCTGCAGCTGCTGCAGGAGGGATGGATTTGTAGAAAATTCTTAAAATGTAACAGAAAGTTCACATAGTATGCGTCTCCATGTAAATTTTGAGGTAAGAAATGTTGATTTAGAAATGTAATAGAACAGAACAGACAATTGTTGGGAGAGAAAATGAATTGGAAACAAGCTTAAAGGTTAATTTTACAAAAAAAAAGATTTAATACTTTAGAGAAATAGAACTATGCTCCTGGAGGGATGGAGAATCTCTGAGACCTCTGCAGCTGCTGCAGGAGCAATGGATTTGTAGAAAATTCTTAAACTTTAACAGAAAGTTCACATAGTATGTGAACGTAGAGTTCATATCTGTATGTAATTTTTGAGGTAAGAAATGTTGATTTAGAAATGTTATAGAATAGAATAGACGTTGAATTAGAAGCAAGTTTTAAAGGATAACTTTACCAATAAAAAGATTTATTATTTAGACAAATAGAACTATGCTCCTGGAGGGGTGGAGAGTCTCTGAGACCTCTGCAGCTGCTCCAGGGGAAATGGATTTGTAGAAAATTCTTAAACTTTAACAGAAAGTTCACATAGTATGCAAATTTCACATGTACGTAAATTTTGAGGTAAGAAATGTTGATTTTCAAATGTTATAAAATAGAACAGACAATTCTTGAGAGAGAAACTGAATCAGAAACAAGTTTTAAAGGTTAACTTTACAAGAAAAAGATTTAATACTTTAGAGAAATAGAACTGTGCTCCTGGAGGGATGGACAATCTCTGAGACCCTCTGCAGCTGCTCCAGGAGCAATGGATTTGTAGAAAATTCTTAAACTTTAACAGAAAGTTCACGTAGTATGCATCTGTATGTAAATTTTGAGGTGAGAAATGTTGATTTAGAAATGTTATTGAATAGAACAGACATTGAATTAGAAACAAGTTTTAAAGGATAACCTTACCAAGAAAAAGATTTAATACTTCAGAGAAATAGAACAATGAAAGATGAAATAAAAATTTTTAACACGCCTTTTAGTTACCCCATTTCTGAGCCAGCAAAAGGCTCAGTGTGCCATTCCCCAGTGCTGGAGCAGCCTGTGGCTCACTCTGTGCCCTCTGCAGGGATCGGCAGGTTTGCTCTGAGAGCTCCACCATCACCTGCAGCCTTCGGCGCGTGCACACCACGCCCAACACCATGACCAACCTCAGCGTGTGCGGCGTGGCCGTGCCCTCCGAGTGCCTGGTGTGCTCGGAGCTGGCCCTGCTCATCCACTTCTTCCCCTGCCAGCACAGCATCGTCTGTGAGGGTGAGTCCACACTGGTTTATTTGTTTTTCCCCCATTTTTTGGCGCAGACGCGTTTGATGAAAAATGTTTTCGTTAGGATCTTTTTCTCCTGAGAAGCTGAGAGGCCTCAGGAACAAAATGCAGACAATAATTTTATGTCTACATTATTTACATAATATAATTGAAATTATATATAATAATAAATATTATTTGTATAATATAAATATATTTATATAGTTGTATTATATAGATATATACATATATTTATATAAGTTTGTATTTATATGGTGTGTATTTACATGGTATATATTTATATTTATATAATATAGATGATATAATTATATATATAATTGTAAATATGCTGCTGTGGAATGCAACAGGTGCATCTTTGATTGGTCTCATGTAGTTGTTTTTAATTAGTGGCCAATCACAGTCAACTGGCTTGGACTGTCTGAGAGTCACGAGATTTTATTATCATTCTTTTCCTTTCCTTGCAAGCCTTCTGCTGAAATCCTTTCTTCTATTCTTTTATATATAATATATTTTATATATATAAATGTATATAATATATTCTATATTATATATTATGTATTATATATAGTGTATAATATATATAAAATATGCCTTCTGGTGAAATCCTTTCTTCTATTATTTTATATTGTATATATTTTATATATATTATATATAATATAATATATAATATAATGTATATTATATATATTTTATATGTTCTTTTATATATTATTTAATATAATATGTATATAATAAGCCTTCTGAAACACAGAGTCAACATTCTCATCTCCTCCCTAGTCCTGAGACCCCTTTGAACACCACCACTTTTTTTTCATGTTTTTTTCATGTTTTCTCCCTCCCTCTTTGCCCTGTCAGAATCCAGCCCTGCTCAGACACAGAAGCTTTTGTGCTGTTTGTGTCCTGAAGCAACCCCAGTGTGATTTCAGCCTCTCAGGCAGCCAGAGTTATCTCTGGAGAACACAGAATGTTCTGCCCACCTGCTGCTTGGGATCCAGGGGAATTCAGAGGGAAAATTCTGCCTGGCAGTGCTTGATCCCCCAGAAACCTCCTGAGGAGGATTTCCCTCTCCTCTGGCTCTCCCAGCTCCTCATTCCTCAGGATTTCAGCTGATTTAAGGGCAGCCTGCTCAGACTTGTCAGCAAGTTCATCTCACAGAGGGAGTGAGCACGGGGAGTTTGCTCTGAACTCTGTGCCAGAGCTTCATCCTCCTCCCCCAGAGCTGCAGCAGCTCCAGGGGCTCAGAGCAGGGAGGATTTAAAGCTGTTGTGTTTGATCAGATTAAATAAAACAATATTAAATAAATTGATTAAATAAATTTGATTAATTTATTTAATACTCCTTTAATGAAATTTTTTTTAATTTAATAAAAGATTAAATAAAAGAGTAAATAAAAGAGTAAGGCACAGCTCAGAAGGCAGGTAGTGACCTCATTCCATGCAGGAGCAATCCCTCAGTCACCCAGGGAAGCCTCAGGTTGTTCAAATCTCATCTTCCTGAGTCTGTTGTGTGTTTAATTGTCATCTCTCCTTGTGGCAGAGTGCTCCAGGAGGATGAAGAAGTGCATCAAATGTCAAGTGACAATAACCAAAAAGCTGAAACAAGGTATGTCCTGCTGGGCAGGGCTGTGGGGAGGGTCCTGCACAGGCTTGGTTTGAGGGGCAGCAATGATTTCCAGTCAAATAAGAGCTCATTTATTGTGGCTTTGTGTGTGTGTGTGTGCCTGTTGCATTATCCACCATTTAGAGAGGTAAAAAAAGTGGATTTTAATAGATTTTCTCAGGTATCCTAAGCCAAGCTCTAGCTGCATAAACAGGACAGGACATTTAAGGGAGCTTTGCCTGGGCCTGGCTTATTTTGTGTATTGGAAGCAGTCGGGTTTCACATGGGGTGGTTTAACAGTGAAAATGCAAACACACACAAACCACTGGGCAAGTAAAAAAGAAAAGCTTTACCCCAATGATTTTTGTTTGGTCCCTGGCTGAGGCTGAGTGCAGAGTGCAGTGTGAGTGGGCTGGTGCTGCTGGGAGGGCAGGAGGGGAGGTTAATGAGTTCCTTAAGGCTGAGCTCTGCCCACAGACAGCACGGAGGTGGAGTGCAGCCCCAGCTCGGAGTGCACGGAGCAGAGGAAGCTGATGGAGGAGCTGCAGAGCCGCTACCGGCAGATGGAGGAGAGGATCACCTGCCCCATCTGCATCGACGACCAGATCAAGCTGGTGTTCCAGTGCGGGCACGGCTCCTGCCCGGACTGCAGCACGGCGCTGACCGTGTGCCCCATCTGCCGCCAGGCCATCCGCGAGAGGATCCACATCTTCGTCTGAGGGAGGATCCGCATCTTTGTCTGAGGGAGGATCCGCATCTTCGTCTGAGGGAGGATCCGCATCTTCGTCTGAGGGAGGATCCGCATCTTCGTCTGAGGGAGGATCCACATCTTCGTCTGAGGGAGGATCCACATCTTCGTCTGAGGGAGGATCCACATCTTCATCTGAGGGAGGATTCTGCTCCTCCCTGTGCCCCATCTGCCTCCCGGCCACCCAGGGGAGGATCCACATCTTTGTCTGAGGATCTGCTCCTCCCTGTGCCCCATCTGCCTCCCGGCCACCCAGGGGAGGATCCAAGTCTTCCTCTGAGGATTCTGCTCCTCCCTGGCCCTGACTGTGCCCCATCTGCTGCCAGGCCATCCAGGAGAGGATCCACATCTCTGTCCGAGGATACTGCTCTTCCCTGTGCCCCATCTGCCCCGGAGAGGATCCACATCTTTGGCTGAGGATCTGCCCCAGGCCCGGCCCTGCCGTGCTTCCCTACCCTCCCTGCCCTCTGCAGGGGTTTGGCTCCCTTGGAAAGGGCAGGAAGCACGGGAGGGATGTGCCAGGGGAGGAGGAGGAAGAGGAAGAGGAGTCTCCTCTGGGGTGTCCCTCCCTCACCTGTGCTGCCCATCCACCATCAGCACCGGACCGAGCACGCGGCAGAGCTGGGCTGGACATGGACAGACCCTGGGCTGAACATGAACAGATCCTGGGGTGTCCCAGAGCTGAACAGATCCCTGAGATGTCCCAGAGCTGAGCTGAAGAGATTCTGGAATTCTCCAGAGCTGAGCAGATCCCTGGAATGTCCCCGAGCTGATCCTGGGATGCTCCAGAACTGAACATGAACAGATCCCTGGAATGTTCCAGGGCAGAGCTGAGCAGATCTCTGGGGTGCTCCAGAGCTGAGCAGACCCTGGAATGTTCCAGAAGCACCCAGGAGTGCTCCCAGCTCCCAGGGAGGTTCCTGGGACCAGCTGAGGGGACAGGGACAGGGAGGGGATGTCCCCAGAGCCCCCTGGGCAGGGCTGGGTCCGGAGTCCCACAGACGGAGTGTGTGCCTTAGAGAAAAAGTAGTGAACACTGATTGAGATTGGAGAAAATCTGTTACAACAAATATTTCTGACCTCTAAGTGACACTCTTCTTCTTCTTCTTCCATATTTTATTTTATTTTATTTCTTTTTTGGCAGAGCCGTGTGTTCAGAGACTCCTGAGCTTTCTATCCATAATGCCAAAGGCAGGTGTTCAATACTCCAATCAAGGTGTAAAGAAATAAACAGTAATAATTAAGATACGAGGGGGAGAAGGACAAAAAAAATTAAAAAAGGGATTTCATTTTTGTTTCTTTGTTTTGCAGCAAAACTTAATAAAATAAAAATATATATTTTCCTGAGCATTAAAAATGAATGTACAAACAGTAGCTGTATTGTTTTCCAGCTGAGTGAAGATTTATCACCCACTCAGTGATCCTGTAAAGTGAATTTTGGTGGAAGTGTGGCTGTTTGTCTGGGTGCCCAAACCTCCTGTTTGTTACATATTGGAAGCAATATTTAAACAAACAAAACAAAACAAAAATTCCAGTGTTCCTCTCCTCCCTTTGTTCGTTAGCAAAGAGGTGGAAAATCTTTTAAAGCAATGTGGAACTGTGTGGTGGTTGTGGGAATGTTGATTATTTATAACCCTGTGGTTTATTCACAAAGTTATTTCACCACTTCTTGACTTTAGAGATAATATTTATCCAGATATTCACTTGGGTTTGGTACAATTTCAATAGATTTTTTTTTTTTTTGGTGAAAATGGATAAGATTTAATCCCTAAATTATTTATTTGGCTCCTACTTAACACCCAAATAACCCAAAGGTGAATTTCAGAATCAGCTTTGGTGTAAAAATCAGAGGTGCAGATTCTCAATATTTCCTAGAAATCCAAACTGATGGGAATCCCTTTGGAACAAGCCAGAAATTTCCCCAAAACCTTTGCTGGAGAAAACGAAAGTGCTCAAAAATACAAATCTGAGCCAACTTTATCCTTTTTTTGTACTTTCTGCCTTTTTACTGTTGGATTTTTTTGCTGGTTTTTGGATTTTTTGTTGGGTTTTTTATTTCCTGCTGGTTTTTGGATCTCTTGTTGGGTTTTGGATTTTTTCCTGTTTTTTGGATTTCTTGTTGGCTTTTGGATTTTTTGCTGGTTTTTGGTCCTTTATGGTCGCACTAATCTGTGCTGCTCCCAGGATTTCAAGAGGATTGGTCCTCAAATGAATTATTAATATTAAATTAATTATAATATTTAAATTACTAATATAATATAATATAATATAATATAATATAATATAATATAACATAACATAACATAACATAATATAATATAATATAATATATAATTAAATATAATTATATATTATAAATATATATAATACTATATAGAATTATAATTTAATTTGTATTAATTATATTAAAATTATATTACATTCTAATACATCAGTAATTGTGAATACTTATAATTTATATTAATTAATACTATTGATTAATAACACATTATGATATAATATCATGTAATATAATATTATGTAATATAATATATAATTAAATATAAGTATATATTGTAAATATATATAATACTATATAGAATTAATTATAATTTAATTTAATTAATTTGTATTAATTATATTAAAATTATATCACATTCTAATACATCAGTAATTGTGAATACTTATAATTTATATTAATTAATACTATTGATTAATAATACATTATGATATAATATAATGTAATATAATATTATGTAATATAATATAATATAATATAATATAATATATAATTAAATATAAGTATATATTGTAAATATATATAATACTATATAGAATTAATTATAATTTAATTAAATTAATTTGTATTAATTATATTAAAATTATATCACAGTCTAATACATCAGTAATTGTGAATACTTATAATTTATATTAATTAATACTATTGATTAATAATACATTATGATATAATATAATGTAATATAATATTATGTAATATAATATAATATAATATATAATTAAATATAAGTATATATTGTAAATATATATAATACTATATAGAATTAATTATAATTTAATTAAATTAATTTGTATTAATTATATTAAAATTATATCACAGTCTAATACATCAGTAATTATGAATACTTATAATTTATATTAATACTATTGATTAATAATACATTGTGATATAATATAATATAATAATATAAAAATATATAGTATGATATGTATAGTGTATATATAATATAATATCACATATAACATAATGATATATTATTAATATTTATAATTTATAATTATTAATACATCCCACCAGAGAGCAGCAAAAAAAATCCCCACCCAGGGGAGCAGTTCTCAGTTCACTGTGGATTCCCTTTGTTATCTGTGTTTTGGGAAACCTTTTCCCCTGATTTCTCCCCAGATTTCTGCTCTCAGGTCGTGCCTGGGCCAGGCCAGTGCAGCATTTCAGTGAAGCAAAAATTCCTGTTCCTGTGCCAGCTGGAGCCGCTCTCAGCTCGTTTGTTCTTCACCAGAGCATGGACTTTTCTAGGAACATCAGCAGACGCTGATCACGAGGGGCTGCAGGGTAAAAAAACGGCAAAATTCTCTTTATTAGGCCCCAAACATTCCTGTCCTCCCTCCCTGGGGAGCATCCAGCACACAAAACCCTTTTTTTAGCCCATGACCCACAGAAAAATCCAATTTTTCCGTGCCATTCCCACAGGAACTGTGCAGGAATGTTGGGTTGTTGGTTTATTTTATTTTTCCCCCCAAGCTGGGGGTTCTGGGTTTATTTTCTTTTCCCCCCAGATTGGGGCTTGTTGATTTCTTATTTCCCCCCCAAGTTGTGGGTTGTTAATTTATTTTCTTTTTTCCCCCAAACTGGGTGTTGTTGATTTATTTTCTTTTTTTTTTTCCCCCAAGTTGGGGGTTGTTAATTTATTTTATTTTTTCCCCCAAGTTGGGGGTTGTTGATTTATTTTCTTTTCCCCCCAAGTTGTGTAGAGTGTGTGGTGATTATGGGAATATTGATTATTTATAACCCTGTGGTTTATTCACAAAGTTATTCCACCACTTCTTGACTTCTGGAGATAACATTTATCCAGATATTCGCTTGAGTTTGTTACAGTTTCCATAGATTTTGGCTTTTTTAATCTGAAAGTAGGAGTGAGGCTTCCAGGTGGAGTTGGGAGCTGAAGGGTGAAATCTCTGAGTGGTTTTTAAGGGAAATTTTCCTGATTCCTGTGCCATGGACCCAGAGGTTGGGTTGAGGCACCCTGGTGTTATCTTTTATACTAAAAACTACATGTACAATATTTACAATTAATTCCCAATACCTATCACCTATGTTAGACAGTGAGCTTCTACTCTAAACCAATCCCAAAGTGCCACCATCACCCAGAAGATGGAGGCCAAGAAGAAGGAGAAAGGCTGGACAAGCCCAGATTCCTCCATCTTGCCCCCTGAACCCCCATTCTAAAAACCCCAAAAATCTATTTTTCACCCTGTGTCAATTCACTATCATTCCACTGAAACTTTTTGTTTAAAGTTGCAGGTCTGCACTGGCTTGCAGATCTTCCATCTTGGGACCCCGAACCCCCATTCTAAAACCCCCAAAAATCTGTTTTTCACCCTATGATAAATTCACTATTATTCTACTTAAACTTTCATGTGGATCTTCTGTCTTGGGACCCTGACCCCCCATTCTAAAAACCTCAAAAAAATCAATTTTTCACCCCGTGATAAATTCACTATCATTCTGCTTAACCTTTCATGGCTTACAGATCTTCCATCTTGGGACCCTGATTCTAAAAACCCCAGAAATCTATTTTTCACTCCATGACAAACCATAATTCTACTTAAATCTTCTTGACTTGTAATTCTTCATATAAGTTGGTGATTGTTTTTTCTAAGGGTTAATCAAAGGCAGGGAGATCTGGGGCTCTGTGCTGGGGTCTCTGAGCCCCCAGAGGAATTTCCTGGGTTCTGACAGAGCCCAACCCAAAATTTGCACTGCAGACCCTGGGAAGGTGTGGGATCATCCCGAGGGTTCTGTGCAGATTTAGCAGAGATTTCACCAGGAGAGCTCAGCAAGGATTTCCTGAGGCTGCGTCTGGGAGTCCTGGATCCTCAGCTGACTCTCACTGCCCTAAAAACTGAGGTTTGTCTTGGCCTCAGTGCTCAGCTGGTTTCTCAGCAAATATTTGGCTTGAGCTCGAGTAATTCTGAGAGCTCTCTGCAGCCAGGCTCTGGTGGGGTTGGATGTGCTGGATTTCCCTGTGGATGGGCACGGTGGGGAGAGAAAACAAAGTGCTTTCCAAGAAATTCTGCTCTGCCTTCTGTCCCTCCCTCCTCAGGGTAACCTGACAGGGGATCCTGAAACGTCCCAGAGGGTTTGGATCAGCTCTGCAGCCAAGGTTCCCATCCAGGCAGCACAGGATAAACCAGATCATGTGCAGCACGATGGGCTCTTCCCATTCAGAATCGTCTGTGACTCATGGAAAAGTCACAGAGCTTTCCTTGGCCCTGCTCACCCTCAGTGGCTGCGTGGAGAAACGTTCAGGAGCACTGAAAATGCACTTTGCTAAAGCTCTGTGCGCTCACTCAGCTGTGCTGAGATGGATTCCACAAAAAACTTTCACTTTATGAAGGGAATTCTTGCTCCCCTCAGGCTCTGCTTGTGTGAGTCCCCAAGCTCTGCTTAAAATTTGGGCTCTTCTCTTCACAAAAATGGGTGAGGGCCACAAAAATTAGTGCCACAAAAGTGGGCGAGTGCCACAAATATGAGTGCCACAAAAATGGGTGAGTACCACAAAAATGGGTGAGTGCCACAAAAATGGGTGAGGGCCACAAAAATGGGTGAGGGCCACAAAAATGGGTGAGTGCCACAAAAATGGGTGAGTGCCACAAAAATGAGTGAGTGCCACAAAAACTGGTGCCACAAAAGTGAGTGAGTGCTACAAAAATAATGCACTAAGTGGGTGCTTGGAGGGTTTTAGGTCCTGCCAGATTTCACATGGACCTTGGGCAGATCTCACCTGCCCAGTGCTGGTTTATAAACCCAGTTTAATCCTGCCTGTCCAAGGTGCAGGAGAAAGCCCTGGCCTGGGTCAGGATTAAACTGCCCTAATTGGGATTAAACTGCCCCAAATCAGGATTAAACTGCCCTAGGTCAGGATTAAACTACCCTAATTTGGGATTCAACTGCCCTGGTCAGAATTAAACTGGCTTAATTGGGATTAAACTGCCCCAAATTTGGATTAAAGTGCCCTGGTCAGGATTAAACTGCCCCAAATTTGGATTAAAGTGCCCTGGTCAGGATTAAACTGCCTTAATTAAGATTAAACTGCCCCAAATTTGGATTAAAGTGCCCTGAGCTGCTGCAGCAGGAGGAGGGCAGGGTGTGCAGTGCATGAACTGAAATCTCCCTCCTGCTCTGCTGAGTCCTCCTGGCTCTGGGAGAGGCCCCTGAAGCTGGGACTGAAACTCAATGTCCTTCCAGCTCTGGGGTTGATAACAATATTTTTCTTTCAAGCCGGTGCTGCCTTGCTGGAGAAGAGCTCTTGGCTGGAGGTCTGGAGCCCCATTTCAAGGCAAGTTTTTCCTTCAGGATTCTCCTCTCCATCAGCATTTTTCTGTTCTCTGCAGGCTCTAAAAGAAACTGAGAATTCAGGCGTAGCTCAGTTGAGTTTCTCCCTTGGTGCTGTGATTGCAGCTCAAACCACCAACAGGGCTGAGTTTGCATCTCTGTGGAGTTCCAAATGCAAAAAAAATTGCATTTTTCAGAGCCACGCACAGGCACTGAGCTGCTGGGGAAGGAGGAACCATCCCTGGAAAGCAGCTGAGGGAGAGCTCTGGACCCTGGGGTTCTGCTCTTCCTCCCCTCTGGAATTCTGTCCATCCTTTCCTTGCTGTCCCTCCTTATCCTGTCCTTTTCCTGTGTCTGAAGCACTGCTGCAATTTTCTGCCCTTTCACTGTTGGATTTCTTGTTGGTTTTTGCATTTTTGTGGTGGTTTGTCTTGGTGAGAATTGAAAACGTTCATGGAATTGCACACCCAGACTCCCTGGCCTGATTTCTCCTGAGCTGTTTGACAGCTCCAGGCCAGCTTGAGGCTGCAAATATATGAAACTAATAAAACAGTGCATGAACTAGGGTGGAAAAAATTCCAATTCGAGCATTTTTCATTTATTAAAATTACAAGGCTTTTCTGAAACCCTTCGAATGCCTCAGATGCCCCCAAGGAATTTTTGCATGGCCTTCCCCCTGCCTGGCATTTCTGGTGGAACTGGGGAGAAAGAATTCCTGCAGAATTCTGAGAGCAGAACTGGGGTTGAGTTCACCCCACTTCAAGATGAGATAGAAAAGTGCAGCTGTCTCTGAAAACCTGAGAATTTCTGAGTGAGATTCTTCAATTCTCTCTGAAAACCTGAGAATTTCTGAGCTTTTTCAGGTGTATCTGAAAACCTGAGTATTTCTGAGTGAGGTTTTTCAACACTCTGAAAACCTGAGAATTTCTCAGTGAGCTTTTTCCACTCTCTCTGAAAACTGGAGAATTCCTGAGTGAGCTTTTTCCGCTCTCTCTGAAAACCTTAAAATTTCTGAGCGAGGTTTTTCAACTCTCTCTGAAAACCTGAGAATTTCTGAGTGAGCTTTTCCAAAAACCCTGAGTGGATCTGGAGATGCCTCAAAGAACCTCCCAGGCAAACCCTCCGAGCCTCTTTGGGACCCAAACCCAGCAGAAATTGCAGCTCCCAGCCAGGTTTGCTGCAAGAGGGGCTGCTCTTTATTTCTGTGGGAGTTTCTCATCTCCCTGAGCCCTTTCCCAAGCAGAGAGAGCCCAGCCTGCTCTCCCAGCGTCTCATTTTTCACCCAGGACAGCTGTGACAAATGACGTGGAGCATCCCCAGCGACACATTCCAAGGGGCTGATTCCTCTGCATTCCTCTTGCTGCCCTGTCCTCTGGGGTTTTTTTGTAATTTTTTTTCTCATTACACGAAGCTGAGAGCTGCAGATTCGCCCTGTGTTGCTCACAGAGTTAAAGAGAGGAGTTCATGTCCAGCCCAGCTTGTTTCACTTTGCTGCTGCTCCCGGGCCAGCCCAAATTTCAGCTGCAGTAACTCGATCCCACTTGGCAGAGCCTGAGAGAATCTTTGGCACATTGCAAAGAGGCTTAATGTAAAGTCTGCTTTTTTTTTTTTTTCCTTTTAAAAAAATCCTTTTTTTTTCCTTTTTTTTTTTTTTTTTTTTTTTTTTTAGGGCATTTTGAAACTCCTCTGGTTGTGTGCACAGCTCTGGCAGCCGCTGCTCACAAATGTGAGCTCCAGGATCACGAATGCTTTCTGTGCAGGGAATGTCTTGAGTTCCTGACCCCAAAACCTCCTCCAAAGCCCTGGAGAAGGCATGGACGGGGCTGAGCAGCTCCCTGCAGGCAGGGGAGGCTCCCCCAGCCTGGAGCACAAGAGGAGCAGGGGCTGCGGGACCTCGCTGGGGTTTCTGTGTCTGTTCCCCATCCTGGCTGTGCTGGCAGCTGTGGAATTTCCAGCTGGAGCTGCAGTGCAGGAAATTCAGGTGAGGAGGAGGAGGAGGAGGAGGAGGGATCTGAGCCTCAAATGCCTGGGAGGGGAGGAGGGGTCCAAGAGAGGTGCAGGTGTGCTCTGGTTAGAGGCTGAAACCTAAATATCTACATGTCTAAAGGTTTAAATATCTAAAGGTCTAAATGCCTAAATAGATAGACAAATGTCTAATCTAAATGGATAATTGGTAATGTGTATGTATGTGTAATAGGTCTGTGGATAAATATATCTAAATAGATAAATAGATCTATAGACAAATAGATCTAAACAGGCCTGAATAGATACAAATAGATCAAAATAGATAAATATCTTAATAGATAAATGTCTAAATGTCTAATCTAAATAGATAAATAGATACAAATAGATCTATAGACAAATGGATCTAAACAGACCTAAATAGATACAAATAGATCAAAACAGATCTAAATAGATAAATATCTCAAATGTCTAAATGTCTAATCTCAATAGATAAATAGATCTCAATAGATATAGAGACAAATAGATCAAAGTAGATAAGTATCTAAACAGATAAATGTCTAAATGTCTAATCTAAATAAATAAATAGATCTCAATAGGTCTGTGGACAAATAGATCTAAATAGATCTAAATAGATAAATATCTTAATAGATGAATGTCTAAATATCTAGTCTCAATAGATAAGTAGATCTATGGACAAATGGAAACAGATTCAACAGACTTGAATAGAAACAAATAGATCAAAATAGATAAATATCTTAATAGAGAAATGTCTAAATAATCGAAATAGATAAATAGATCTCAATAGATCTATAGACAAAGATCTAAGTAGATAAAGATCTAACTAGATTAATGTCTAAATGTCTAAATAAATAAATGGATCTTAATAGGTCTGTGGACAAACAGATCTAAATAGATCTAAAGTATCTAAACAGATAGATGTTTTAATGTCAAATATTTTAATTTAAAACGAGCAGAGCCCAGGCAGGAGGGTTGGGCTCAGCCCTGCAGCTCCTCTGATCCAGCAGTGATTGATGCTCTGCTCTGGATTTTAAGCAGAAGTCACACATTATTTTAATTTTTTCCCTTTGTCTGTTCAGCCCTAATGGCCTGAAGCTTTTATTCTCAGTAGTTATAGAAAATAAAACCATTTTTCTCCCCTGGGGCTGCAGTTTTCCCTGCAGGAGGAGGAGCCAGCAGGCTCTTCCTGGCTGGAATTGTTCTCTGCTGGTGCCCAGGGGCTGGGAGAGCTCAGGGCTCCCCCTGTGCTGGAATTTAATTATTTGCATTAAATATAACAAATAATATAGAATATAATATATAATTTACCATAAAATGTATAATACATGGTATGTATAATATAGAATATAATATATAATGTATATAATATATTATACATATATTACATTATTACATTACATTACATATTACATTTTGTATTATATTATACAATATATAATATATAATATAATATATAATATGTAATAAAATATAGTATATAGTATAATATATTATAAGAATATAACAATATATTTTATAAAATAGATAATCGCTAATATATATTATATATTATATATTATATAATATATATTATAGAATACATATTATAGAATATATATAATATATAATATATTTTATATTATATAATATATAATATATTCTATATTATATAATATATATTGTATATTATAATATATTATATAATATATATTGTATATTATAATATAGAATATACATTAGATAGAATATAAGATATCTAATGTATATTATATATATATATGAAATATATAATGTTATATAGCTATATTGTGTTTAATATATTAATATATTAGTATATAAAATATATATTGTATACCAAATATATAATGTTTTCACAAAAGAAGTGTCCTCACAAAGCTGCTGCTGGTCTCAGCTGCAGGAAAATCTGAAATTTCGCCTTGGAGGAGAGAAAAATGCTGAGATTTGGAAATGGGGCTGCCAGCCATGGGCAGGAGAAGTTTTCCAGCCTTTCAAGCCATGGAAAGTTCCTGTGTGACAGCAGGGATGTGGTTTGGCCACTGCCTTGGTGCCTCTAGAGCCCAATTTTTGATGTTTTAGCCCCAGAAAAGGGGAGGCAGAGCTGGAAAACTCCCAAAATTCCCAGATTGGGTCGCATTCATTTCCCTCCAGGTTCTAAAGGCTTTTCCAGCTGGAGCCAGATGTGTCACACTCAATTCCAGGAGGTCCTGGGCTGTCCCCTGCTTTAGAGGCACTCCAGGCTTTGGGGGCATTTCAGAGCTCCCTGCACAAAGAGTTCCCTGTTTCAGGCCCTGCTCAGATTTACTCTGGGCACTGATGGAGGAAATGAGAACTTTCCAGGCAGAGCTGCAGCACTGGCGGCGGCCAGGAGCCTCCTGAGGGCTCATCCCTGCTCTCCAAGGAGGACAGGGGCTGGTCGGGGATGGTTTGGGATGTTTTGGGCTGGTTTGGGATGGTTTGGGATGATGCAGGGATGTTTTAGGATATTTTGGGTTGGTTTGAGATGTTAATCACTGGTTTGGGCTGGTTTGGGATGTTTTGGCTGTTTTGGGATGATGCAGGGCTGGTTAGGGATGTTTTGGGATGATGCAGGGATGTTTTAGAATGTTTTGGGTTGGTTTGAGATGTTTATCTCTGGTTTGGGATGTTTTGGGCTGGTTTGGGATTTTAAGCAGATTTGGAATGTTCTGGGATGATGCAGGGCTGGTTTGGAATGGTTTGGGCTGCTTTGGGATGTTTTGGGTTGATGCAGGGATGTTTTAGAATGTTTTGGGTTGGTTTGAGATGTTTTTCTCTGGTTTGGGATGTTTTGGGCTGGTTTGGGGATGTTTTAGGATGTTTTGGGCTGGTCTCATCCCTTGGGTACCCCTCAGGCAGAGCCAGAGCTGCTCCCAGCCCCAGGTTTTGCTCCATGGAGGATTTTATTCTGCACTCTGAAGGCCCCTAGAAGAGAGGCTTTTAGAGAATAAATTGGGATTTATTAAAGGCCTTCAAGAGGTGCCCCCTGGGCAGTGAAAAACCTCAAAGGGTTTTCAGAAACCTCTGGGTTTCCAGCCCAGGGTGGGTGATGGTCACAAGTTGTTCACACAATTAAAATTTGGTCCTTTTACATATCAGGGGTTAATCCTCCAATTGCAGCTTCAGGTAATGAAGTCATTTACCCCAATTCGTCCCTGAAATTTAATTTTATACTTTTATTTATGCTTTTATTTATACTTTTCAGGGCCTGAGGCTGTGGGGTGTCCTTGGATCTCAGGCCTGGAGGAATTGTTGTGTCTGACAAAATGTGCAAGCACTGACTAAGACTTTATTATGGAATTCAGAGTGATGCAGTGCAGCATTTGAGAAATAAAGGCTAAATAAATATAAAGAATAAATATAAAGGCTAAATCTCAAGGTATCAGGTGTCCTGGAGTGCCTCCCATGTCGTGTTTTGTCTTTAAGGAAGATGTGCCAGGCCCAGCTGTGCCCAGCCCAGCCCCTGCCCAGCGCAGCCGCCGCTACACCCTGACCCCCGGGCACCTCAGGTGGGACCACTTCAACCTCACCTACAAGTAAGAACTGGAACAGCCCAGAAATCATCCTGGGGCCTGGATTTTCCTGATCTATCCAGTGCTTTTGGGTCTTGGCCCTGTGGTTTTTGTAAGAATCTGCTGCTGGGATCCTGTGGGATACAATACAACGCAATACAACACAACACAATACAAATACAATACAAATACAATACAATACAATGCAATACAATACAATACAATACAAATACAATACAAGCCTTCTGAAAACATTGATCAGATCCATAATTCCTTCATAAAATAATAAATTATCCTTCTAAGAACATGGAGTCAGATTCATTCCTTCCTGCCAGGGGCCACTTCAAAAATACCCCAGGGTGTGCTGTGTGTCCCTGCTGTGCTCTTTTATATAATAACTTTTATATTATATAATACAATAAAATAATAAATTATCCTTCTAAGAGCATGGAGTCAGATGTTCTATATTATATTCTAAGTACATGGAGTCAGATTCATCATTCCTGCCTGCCAGGGGCACCTGATAAACACCCCAGGTGTGCTGGGTGTCCCTGCTGTGTTCTTTTATATAATAACTGGAATGGAATGGAATGGAATGGAATGGAATGGAATGGAATGGAATGGAATGGAACAGAATAGAATGAAGAATAAGAGGAAGACTGAGAATTAGAATTGAAGAGAAAACAAGAATGAATGAATAGAATAGAAGAGAATAGAATAAAGAATAAGAGGAAGACTGAGAATTAGAATTGAAGAGAAAAAAAAAAGAAAGAATAGAATAGAATGAAGAATAAGAGGAACACTGAGAATTAGAATTGAAAACAAAAAAGAATAGAATAGAATAGAATAGAATAGAATAGAATAGAATAGAATAGATTAGACTAGAATAGAATAGAATAGAATGAAGAATAAGAGAAACACTGAGAATTCAAATTGAAAACAAAATAGAATAGAATAGAATAGAATAGAATAGAATAGAATAGAATAGAATAGAATAGAATAGAATAGAATGAAGAATAAAAGGAAGACTGAGAACTGGAATTGAAAACAAAAATGAATAGAATAGAATAGAATAGAATAGAATAGAATAGAATAGAATAGAATGAAGAATAAGAGAACACTGAGAATTAGGATGAGAGAGAAAAAAATAAATGAATAGAATAGAATAGAATAGAATAGAATAGAATGAAGAATAAAAGGAAGACTGAGAACTGGAATTGAAAACAAAAATGAATAGAATAGAATAGAATAGAATAGAATAGAATAGAATAGAATAGAATGAAGAATAAAAGGAAGACTGAGAACTGGAAGAGAAAACAAAAATTAATAGAATAGAATAGAATAGAATAGAATAGAATAGAATGAAGAATAAGAGGAAGACTGAGAATTAGAATTGAAAACAAAAAAGAATAGAATAGAATAGAATAGAATAGAATAGAATAGAATAGAATAGAATAGAATGAAGAATAAATGGAAGACTGAGAACTGGAAGAGAAAACAAAAATGAATAGAATAGAATAGAATAGAATAGAATAGAATAGAATAGAATAGAATGAAGAATAAAAGGAAGACTGAGAACTGGAATTGAAAACAAAAATGAATAGAATAGAATAGAATAGAATAGAATAGAATAGAATAGAATAGAATGAAGAATAAAAGGAAGACTGAGAACTGGAAGAGAAAACAAAAATGAATAGAATAGAATAGAATAGAATAGAATAGAATAGAATAGAATAGAATAGAATGAAGAATAAAAGGAAGACTGAGAATTAGAATTGAAAACAAAAAAGAATAGAATAGAATAGAATAGAATAGAATAGAATAGAATAGAATAGAATAGAATGAAGAATAAATGGAAGACTGAGAACTGGAAGAGAAAACAAAAATGAATAGAATAGAATAGAATAGAATAGAATAGAATAGAATAGAATAGAATAGAATAGAATGAAGAATAAAAGGAAGACTGAGAACTGGAATTGAAAACAAAAATGAATAGAATAGAATAGAATAGAATAGAATAGAATAGAATAGAATAGAATAGAATAGAATAGAATGAAGAATAAGAGGAAGACTGAGAATTAGAATTGAAAACAAAAAAGAATAGAATAGAATAGAATAGAATAGAATAGAATAGAATAGAATAGAATAGAATGAAGAATAAGAGGAACACTGAGAATTAGGATGAGAGAGGAAAAAATAAATGAATAGAATAGAATAGAATAGAATAGAATAGAATAGAATAGAATGAAGAATAAGAGGAAGACTGAGAACTTGAAGAGAAAACAAAAATGAATAGAATAGAATAGAATAGAATAGAATAGAATAGAATAGAATAGAATAGAATAGAATAGAATAGAATGAAGAATAAGAGAACACTGAGAATTAGGATGAGAGAGAAAAAAATAAATGAATAGAATAGAATAGAATAGAATAGAATAGAATAGAATAGAATAGAATGAAGAATAAAAGGAAGACTGAGAACTGGAAGAGAAAACAAAAATTAATAGAATAGAATAGAATAGAATAGAATAGAATAGAATAGAATAGAATGAAGAATAAGAGGAAGACTGAGAATTAGAATTGAAAACAAAAAAGAATAGAATAGAATAGAATAGAATAGAATAGAATAGAATGAAGAATAAATGGAAGACTGAGAACTGGAAGAGAAAACAAAAATGAATAGAATAGAATAGAATAGAATAGAATAGAATAGAATAGAATAGAATAGAATGAAGAATAAAAGGAAGACTGAGAACTGGAATTGAAAACAAAAATGAATAGAATAGAATAGAATAGAATAGAATAGAATAGAATAGAATAGAATGAAGAATAAGAGGAAGACTGAGAATTAGAATTGAAAACAAAAAAGAATAGAATAGAATAGAATAGAATAGAATAGAATAGAATAGAATAGAATGAAGAATAAGAGGAACACTGAGAATTAGGATGAGAGAGGAAAAAATAAATGAATAGAATAGAATAGAATAGAATGAAGAATAAGAGGAAGACTGAGAACTGGAAGAGAAAACAAAAATGAATAGAATAGAATAGAATAGAATAGAATAGAATAGAATAGAATAGAATAGAATGAAGAATAAAAGGAAGACTGAGAACTGGAATTGAAAACAAAAATGAATAGAATAGAATAGAATAGAATAGAATAGAATAGAATAATAAATTAGCCTTCTGAGGACCTGAAGCCAAATGCATCATTCCTCCCCGCTCCTGATAAAGACCCCGGCTGTGCTGTGTGTCCCTGCTGTGTAATACAATCCAATCCAATCCAATAATAAATCAGCCTTCTAAGAACATGGAGTCAGATCCATCCCGCCCTGCCCTGCTGACCCCCCTGGTGTCCGTGTGTCCTGCAGGATCCTGTCCTTCCCCCGGCACCTGCTGAGCGCCAGGGCCACGCGCCGGGGGCTGGCGGCCGCGTTCCGCATGTGGAGCGAGGTGTCCCCGTTCAGCTTCAGGGAGGTGCCCCCGGAGCTCCCCAGCGACCTCAAAATCGGTGAGTGCCCCCCGGGACCCTGCAGGGGCCAGGGGGCTGCTGGGGGGGCAATTCCAGCAATTCCAGGTGTAATGTGGGGTCTGGGAGGCAGGAGAGCCCTCCTGGGCTGGGTGGACACTTGGATAGAGTTTGGGGTTCCTTTGCCTTTAGCCAGGCAAAGAAAAAGTAATTTTGTCTGCTCAAGGAAATATTGATGTTTATATTAAATATTTTTATTAATTCTCACAATTAACGCTTGCTGGGAAGCTTCAGGCATTTGCCAGGAATGAACCCTCAAATTCTGCAGCTGGGATCCCACAGGTGGGGAAAGCCACAGGAAAATAAGGATAAGAATAAGAATAAGAATAAGAATAAAGAATAAAGAATAAGAATCCACAGGTGAGGAAAGCCACAGGAGAATGAGAGTAAGAATCTACAGGTGGGGAAAGCCACAGAACAAGGATACACATTTTCTCATGTTCTCATGGAGATTTTTTGTGGATGACATTTTTTGTTGTCATTTCTGTGGATGACAGATTTTTTGAAGTTTTTTTGCGGGGAATTTTAGGAATTGGTTGTTGGCTTGATGTGATTTTTCTGCAATTGTTTTTTGACTAATCTTTTGGGACTACCTATTTTTTTTTTTATTTAAGGGGTTATTAATTTACTGAAATGGGATTGTAAGTCTTTTAGGTCAATTTTAAGGTGGTGAGTGCTGCAGTGCTATGTCTGAGAATTGGACGAAGCGTTTTGAGAAATTTTTGAGGATTTCCCTGTCTCCCCTGACCCCCAGGGGCACAGAAAACCCTCAAGCTGCTGCTTTTCCCCACAGGTTTCTACTCCATCAACCACACAGACTGCCTGGAGTCCCTGACCCACCACTGCTTCGACGGCACCACGGGGGAGCTGGCCCACGCCTTCTTCCCTCCCCACGGGGAAATCCACTTCGATGACCACGAGTATTGGATCCTGGGCAACACCAGGTTCAGCTGGAAGAAAGGTGAGCACAGGGAGAACGTGGAGTGCCTGGGGTTTGGATTTTAGCCTGGGATTGGCCTGAGCTGGGAAAGTGGCAGTAGGAATTGTTGGGGTTTTATTGTGGGGTTGGAAGGTGTTGTTCCTCTGCCCTGAGCTCCAGCTGAGTGGTGGAAATTCCATTTCTTGCTGGAATTGTTGGAATTAGTGAAATTATTGGATAGTTCAGCCTCATCCTTCTGTTAAAATCCATGTGCTGGATGCTGCCCAGAGGCTTGAATTGGACTCCAGGCTGTGGAGGTCAAACAAGAGCCTCTTTCAGCCTGGAACCTTCCCAACCCCATTTCTTCAGCTCAGGGCTGTGGGAGCAAAGAGCAGGAGGCTGAGGAGGGTCAGTGGGTCAAACCTTGGTGCTCCAGAGCAGCTCTCCTGGAGCCTGGCACTGCTCTGGGTCCTGCTGCTGGGAATCAGAACCGCATGGAAATCACTGGCTGGGATTTTAATCCTCCTGGACTTTGGTTCCCAAGTTCTTGAACATCCAAAGGAATTGGTGGTAGCAGTTTCTCTCTTGGCTCTCACTGTGAAGGTTGGCCTTGGACAGAGTTAAAGAATAAAACAGGGATTTAGTAAAAGTCCTCAATGGATCCACGTTGGGCAGCACAAGAGCCCAGCCAGGGCTGCAGCCAAGATGAACCAAAACGGTCCCAAAAAATGGATGATGGGTCACAAAATTATCAATTTTAGTCCATTTACATATTGGAGTGAATTGTCCCATTCCAGCTTTAGCCCCTGCAGTCCCACCCTTGTTTTTCCCTCTCCAGCCCACGGTGTTTGTGCTCCTGGGCTGAGATTTGGATCATTTGTCCTTGGTGCCCAGCTGGAGCAGGAATTGTTTTGTCTCCCTGCTCTGTGCACAGAGCTCACCATCCCATAATGTGAAGCCCAGACCCACACACTAAAACAGCAGAGAATGTGAAAAACAGAAAAACCAAAACCTGAGGCATCAGTACAGAATCTGGATAATAGAAAATCCAAAACCTGAGGCATCAATTTGAGCACAGGTTGTTCATCAGTGCCATCATTGTGTGGAATCACTGCTCGGTTTTTGGGTCCAGGCTCTGAACCCAATATATAAATCTATGAGTTATGAGTTATCTCTAATTATATCTAAAGAAGAAATTGTTTTGTCTCCCTGCTCTGTGCACAGAGCTCACCATCCCCTGATGTGAAGCTCAGACCCACACACTAAAGCAGCACAAAATGAGAAAAATAGAAAAGCCAAACCTGAAACATGAGTACAGAATCTGGAAAATAGAAAAGCCAAAACCTGAGGCATCAACTTGAGCACAGGTTGTTCATCAGTGCCATCATTGTGTGGAGTCACTGCTCAGCTTTTGTTTCCAGGCTCTGCACCCAGTATATAAGTCTGTGAGTTGTAGCTCTAAGTTATATCTAAAAAAAGAATTGTTTTGTCTCCCTGCTCTGTGCACAGAGCTCACCATCCCCTGATATGAAGCTCAGACCCTCAGATTAAAGCAGCACAGAATGTGGAAAATAGAAAAACCAAAACCTGAGGCATCAGTACAGAATCTGGAAAATAGAACAGTTAAAATCTGAGACATCAGTACAGAATCTGGAAAATAGAAAAACTAAAACCTGAAACATCAGTACAGAATCTGGAAAATAGAAAAGCCAAACCTGAGTGAGGCATCAGTATAGAATCGAACAACAGAAAAGCCAAACCTGAGGCACCAGACCCTTTGCTGTGGTTTTACACCAGGCAGAGCAGTGTCTGAAGCTGCTGTGCACCACTCCCAGGTGTTTCCTCTCCTCTCCCCTCCCCAGGAGTGTGGCTCACTGACCTGGTGCACGTGGCTGCCCACGAGATCGGGCACGCGCTGGGCCTGATGCACTCGCTGAACCCCAACGCGCTCATGCACATCAACGCCACCCTGACGGGCAGGAAGAGCATTTCCCAGGACGAGGTGTGGGGGATCCACAGGCTCTACGGTGAGACACGACCTCCATCTGGGCAGGGTTTGCCCCGGGTGGCAGCTGGGTGCTGTGGAGCAGTGGTGGCGTCACATCCCAGCTCGGGCTCCTGTAGTGTGGATATTTGAAATGATGAGGATTCCATTGCTATCAGAAGGCTAATTAATGACTTTATTATGCTATATTATTCTATATTGTATTAAATTACATCTAAACTGAATCTGCCAAGCATCAACTGCCCAGAATCTGGTGACTGTCACCCTCAGTCCTGACACACACCAGGCCCTGACAGGCCAAGGAAACAAAACTCCATCACTGTGGGTAAATCTCCATATTGCATTCTACTTCTGCACAAACACAGGCACAGCAAATGAGATAAGAATATTCTTGATAAGAATTGTGCCTTGCATTTCTCTGTGAAGAGAAGTGTGGGGCTACACACTTGGCCCTGACAGGCCAAGGAAACAAAACCCCATCACTTTGGGGAAACAAAACCCCATCACTCTGGGGAAACAATCTCCATATTGCACTCCACTTTTGCACAACACAGGCACAGCAAATGATAAGAATTGGTTTCCTTTCTCTGAGGTTCAGAGAATGCAAAACCCAGAAATATTCTTGGGAAGAATTGGGCCTTGCTTTTCTCTGTGAAATGTGGTGACACTCCCCATCCCAGCTCCACCTTGCTCCTTCTGACATTTCACCTCAGGCTGGTCGTTCAGCCTCTCTAACAGCTCCTCTCCTGTTCCAGGCTGCAAGGACAGGTTATTCATGTGCCCAGGGTGGGCTAAGAAAGGATTCTGTGAGGAGCGCAGGAAGCTGATGAAGAAACACTGCCCGGCCACCTGCGACTTCTGCTACGGTACCAGGGCTGGGGAGGAGGGAAAATGCACAGGGAAGGGGTAAAAATACACAGGGAGGGGGTAAAATGCACAGGGAGAGGTAAAAATGCACAGGGAAAAGGGAAAAGTGCACAAAGAGGAGGGAAAAGTGCACAGGGAAGAGGTAAAAGTGCACAGGGAGGAGGTAAAAGTGCACAGGGAGGAGGGTAAAATACACAAGGAAGAGGTAAAATGCACAGGGAGAGGGTAAAATGCACAGGGAGAGGGTAAAATGCACAGGGAGAGGGTAAAATGCACAGGGAGAGGTAAAAATGCACAGGGAGAGGGTAAAATGCACAGGGAGGAGGTAAAAGTGAGTCTGGAACAGGCAGAATCTTCATTTCACACCAGGGATCAGTGACACCAGTGATCCAGCTCCAAGCAGCACAACAGAAATGGAGTTTTGTGTACCTGAGTGCAGATCCAGGCCTGGAATGAGGAATAATCCAATATTTATGGAGTGGAACATGAAATTCCTCCCTGGAATTCAATTCCTCTCTTTAGCTGAGCCAGGGAATAGCAGGGAGAGGGGCTGCAGGGATGGTAAAAGAGGACAAAAACATTTCCAGCACAGCTGGATGGAGCTGCTCCCAGAAAGGTGATTAATACAGGGTGTTAATTACCTTCTCCAGGCCCAGCTTGTGGATCCAGGTAAGGAACTAATGCAGGGCAAGCTGCTGCAGCTGTGGCAGATAAATTGAGTTCAGATACAAAATGCTGGAATAAAAAATATCCCTTAGGATATCCTGGATAACCACTGCCTCTTCAGCACAGAGGGGTTTTGTTTTTGGGGCCCCATTAATGAAAGATGCAATTAAATAATTACAAACCCAGATATTCCACAGGCTTTTCACACACTGGACTCTTCACATCCTCTTCCACAGCTGTGAAAGGAACAAATTGATTTTTATCACACCACGAAGTTTTTATCTTTACACATCAATCGTGTTCTTTGTCCATCCAAGAATTGCTCAGCAAGAGGAGGCACTTTGAAATTAATACTTTTAAATCTGCTTAAATGATGATTTTGTGAAAGGGTTTTGGGGTGACAAAGCTCCTGAACTGCTGCATTTCCTTCTCTCCCTGCCCAGAATTCCCATTTCCAACGGTGCCCCCCACTCTGCCCCCACCAAGGACCAAAACCAAGACGGTTTCTGAGGGCAGGAACGTCACCTTCCGCTGCGGGCAGAAAATCATCCACAAAAAAGGCAAAGTCCAGTAAGTGCTCTGGTCATCCAGGAAACCTCACATGCAGCCAAAATCCAGGAGGAAAAATCACAAAAATAGGGTGAAGGAAAATGGAGTTCATAATCTAGAGCTCAAGGAGGATAAAATCCAATTTTTTTTTTTTTTTTATATATATATATATATATATATATATATGTTATATACAGCACAAAGCTAATTCCTATTACCAAACTGAATTCCCTGGCTTGAATATTTATATTCTTTAAATTCTGCAAAATAGTTATTAAAATTTTATATATTTATATAAAAGCATAATATATATATATATATATATAAATTATATATATAAATAAAATAATATAAATACAATATACTAATATCTATAAATATAATAACAATAATGATATACTAACATAACAATTATATACTATAAATATATATGAAACAATTATCTATCCTACATATAATATAAATATATACTATATATAACAATTATCTAATATATATATTTTTATATTTATAGGTATTTATATTTTTATAATTTTATTTTTAGTATTTTAATATTTGTTAAAATTTTCTTTTTAAAATATAAATTTTTATATTCTTTATATTCTGCAAAAAAGACCTGTAAAATTTAAATTTATCTTTTCAGGTTTTAATTAGTTGGTTGTTACTGAAGTATGAACAGGTTCTGGATGTATCTAAAATTTAGGTTGGCTCAAATCCATGAGGATCCAAATTCCCATCAACTTTCAGAGACTCAAACTCCAGAATTACTCATGATTATGATTATTAATAATTATCCACCTGAAATAAAGAGTAAAACTCAGCTGTTTTGGTGAAGTCTCTACTCTACACTTATTCAGCAAAACTTATTGGTAGAAATAACTAATAATATTTCTATTAGAAATAACTAATATTCTATAATAACTATATATTCTAATATATATTCTATATATTTTTATTAGAAATAATTAATATTCATATTTACCTTCCATTCTTTTTCTTCTGCCAGCTGGTATAAAGATAAGGAACTTCTGGAATATTCCTACCCAGGGTATTTATCCCTCAATGAAGATCACATGAGCATCATTGCAAACGCAATTAATGAAGGAACTTACACTTGCATAGTGAAGAAAAAGGAAAGAATCCTCACTACTTATTCCTGGAGGATCAGACTGAAGCACTGAGCCAGCCCTGGATTCAGCTCCTGCTCCTGTTCCCAGCTGGTTTTTGGCATTTTAGATTTTATCTCCAATAGTGCAACTGAATTCTTCATCGGTGCTTTGGTACCTGGGACTGATTATGGAATATCAAACTCTTTGGAGTCCTTGGAATGATAAAGAATTTATCAACTATTTGCTGTACAGAGAATTAAAAACCTTTTTTTTGTATGAAAAGTGTCAGATGGAGCTGTGTGAGCTGCTGCAAAGCAGAGTGACCCCTGGGACAGTGGGATGGCAGGAAAAGACAAGTTTAACACTCTGAGTGTTTTCCTGCCATTTTTACAGAACAAATGACACTGCTAAGCCTTAATTTACTTTTCTTTCCCTTGTCAGGAGGATGAGGGTCACACAAACCCTGTTCTGCTCATCCCAACACGTTCAGCTCAAGCATCCACGGAACAGCTCTTACCCCAAGTGGATTCCTGTGGTTTGAGGGTTTTCTTCTTATCCCAGGAGGCATTTCTTGCTCAGAGCTTGATCCTTGAGGGGTTTGAGCTGCTCAGTTTGGTCCTTGAGGGGTCTGAGCTGCTCAATTTGGTAATTCAGGGGTCTGAGCTGCTCAATTTGGTAATTCAGGGGTCTGAGCTGCTCAGAGTTTGGTCCTTGAGGGGTCTGAGCTGCAGTTTGGCAATTAAGGGTCTGCATTGCTCAGAGTTTGGTTCTTGAGGGGTCTGAGTTGCCCAGTTTGGTGTTCTTGAAGGGTCTGTGCTGCTCAGAGGGGTAATTAAGGGGTCTGAGCTGCTCAGTTTGGTAATTAAGGGTCTGCACTGCCCAATTTGGTCCTTGAAGGGTCTGCACTGCTCAGAGTTTGGTCCTTGAAGAGTTTGAGCTGCTCATTTTGGTCCTTGAGGGGTCAGAGTTTGGTGATTAAGGGGCTGAGCTGCCCAGAGTTTGATCCTTGAGGGGTCTGCACTGCTCAGTTTGGTAATTAAGGGGTCTGAGCTGCCCAGTTTGATAATTAAGGGTCTGCACTGCTCAGTTTGGTAATTAAGGGGTCTGCACTGCTCAGAATTTGATCCTCAAGGGGTCTGAGCTGCCCAGTTTGGTGTTTAAGGGCTCTGAGCCCTGAGCCCAGTGGGATTGGGGCGATTCCCTCCCTCAGGATGGGGTGACACTGCCCCATCCAGCTGGAGAGGAGCTGGGGGCAGGGAAGCTGGGAAGGAACAGCTCCATGTCATGGCCAAACTATGCACTGGGGTCATGCTTTAATCCTGCACAGCCTCCCTGGCTTCCTGGGGAAGCTTCTGGAATCAGGAACGTTCAGCTGTTTCTCCTTCAGGCTGAGGGGAACACAGGAAAACATCCAGGCTGCTTTTCCAGCTCACCACAATGCAGCACAGCCACGTCCCAACCCCAGCAAAGCTCCCCAAAAGGGGCTGAATCTGATAAATAAAATGTTTAGGGTTGGAGTTAATCCCTGCCTGGCCTGGGGCCCAGCTGTGGCTGCAGGAAAATGTGGTGTTTTCCAGATCTCCCTGTTCCCAAAACAAAGTGACAGCTTCACAAATCAGAGGATGAGATTGCACCAGGATTCCTCCTCTCCTCTCTCCCCAGAAAGGACTGGAATGTGGCCTTGCACAACCACTGAGGCTGAGGTCTTCTCTGCATGGAAAAAGGGCAAAAAATATAAAAAACCAAACTTTCACAGAAAATAAAGTTTCAAGTCTCCATATTAAATCTTTTTGATTTATAAAACAATAGAGTAATTTGTTTTGCACCACTGTAAATACATTTACAGAACAAACAAAAAAATTCTGGTCAGGGAGTATCAAACCCAGCCCAGCCCTCTCCAAGGATACAAACCTCAGAATTGTCATTTTTCTTTTTGCCCCAAATATATTCAGACACAAACAATTTATTACTTAAAATAAAAAATAAACTCTCTTTACTGTCACCAACATCCCACTTTGCTGCATGTGAAGCAATGAAATCCTTCACACTATTAAACAATTGAAAATGTATTTTAATTCTACAAATTTACAAGGAAAAAAAAAACCAAAACAAAACAAACTCAACAAAAAAAAATAAACCAGAAACTGTTCCAGGACTGTTATTTCAAGTTGTCCTTTGTCACAGTTTGTGATGATCCTGGGTTTTCAGGTAACTCCAGTCCTCTAATGGAATGCAGCAGTTAAACTCCACATTGATTTATAAAACAAGAGCCTTGGAATCTGTGATAATCCTTGAGTTTTTTTTCACAGGGAAAAACATCTGTGCCCCTGACACAGAACAGAACTGGGGCATCAAATCCACTCACATGAATGGTGCTTTTTTCCTTTTTTGATTTTTGGGGATTTTTTCCCCTCCTTTTTTATGTTGAGTTCAAAACTTGAGGCTGAAGCCAGGTCCTGCAGCAGATGCTCCTTGGTTTGTGGTGGTCAGATGGAAACCTGTGTCCTTCAGGTCATCATCACCCTGTGAAAAATGTGAAAAGCAAGCACAGGGCACTGAGCAGGGGCTGGGCAGCTGCATTTACCCCTCCAAAAGTCTAAACAGCAAAAATAAAGTATCTCAAGATGAGAAAGAAATGTTTGATTTAGTGCCATCACAGTTAAGGTTGATGCTGGGTTATTCATAATCTTTAAATATTGCTATTTCAAAATTTGCCATTGCTAAAAGCAGTTGGAGTGTTCCTAGTTCCTGTACCCACTTTTGACTGCATGAGAAGGAAAAAACATGGGCTTTCCCTGCCAGTGCAGGTGAATCTCAGGATCCCAACCAAATCCCAGCCCCAGGGGAGGCTCTGGGGCTGTGCCACACTCACCAGCACTGACTTTGGGAAGGAAAACTGGACTTTCTCTGCCAGTCCAGGTGAATCTCAGGATCCCAACCAAAACCCAGCCCCAGAGAAGGCTCTGGAGCTCTGCCCAGCTCACAGTGACTTTGGGAAGGAAAGCTGGACTCTCCCTGGCAGTCCAGGTCAATCTCAGGATCCCACGCAAATCCCATCCCAGCTGTAGCCCTGCCCTGTGCCACACCCACACTCACAGCTGGCTATAGCCCTGTGTCACACTCACCAGCTGGCTGTAGCCCTGTGCCACACCCACACTCACAGCTGGCTGTAGCCCAGCCCTGCCCTGTGCCACACTCACCAGTGGCTGTAGCCCTGTGGCACACTCACACTCACCAGCTGGCTGTAGCCCTGTGTCACACTCACCAGTGGCTGTAGCCCTGTGTCACACTCACCAGCTGGCTGTAGCCCTGTGGCACACTCACCAGTGGCTGTAGCCCTGTGGCACACTCACACTCACCAGCTGGCTGTAGCCCTGTGTCACACTCACCAGCTGGCGGTAGCCCTGTGTCACACTCACCAGCTGGCTGTAGCCCTGTGTCACACTCACACTCACCAGCTGGCTGTAGCCCTGTGTCACACTCACCAGCTGGCGGTAGCCCTGTGTCACACTCACCAGTGGCTGTAGCCCTGTGGCACACTCACACTCACCAGCTGGCTGTAGCCCTGTGGCACACTCACACTCACCAGCTGGCTGTAGCCCTGTGTCACACTCACCAGCTGGCTGTAGCCCTGTGGCACACTCACACTCACCAGCTGGCTGTAGCCCTGTGTCACACTCACACTCACCAGTGGCTGTAGCCCTGTGTCACACTCACCAGTGGCTGTAGCCCTGTGTCACACTCACACTCACCAGCTGGCTGTAGCCCTGTGTCACACTCACCAGTGGCTGTAGCCCTGTGGCACACTCACCAGCTGGCGGTAGCCCTGTGTCACACTCACCAGTGGCTGTAGCCCTGTGGCACACTCACACTCACCAGCTGGCTGTAGCCCTGTGTCACACTCACACTCACCAGCTGGCTGTAGCCCTGTGTCACACTCACACTCACCAGCTGGCTGTAGCCCTGTGTCACACTCACCAGTGGCTGTAGCCCTGTGGCACACTCACACTCACCAGCTGGCTGTAGCCCTGTGTCACACTCACACTCACCAGCTGGCTGTAGCCCTGTGTCACACTCACACTCACCAGCTGGCTGTAGCCCTGTGTCACACTCACCAGCTGGCTGTAGCCCAGCCCTCCCTCGGGGGGCCGGGGGCTGGTGCCCCTCTTGACCCTCTGCTGCTCGCTCTTGGCCGGCCAGGTGGGGAACATGGAGGGGTCGATGGGCAGCGGGGTCTCCCTGAAGTACTCGTGCTTCAGCCCGTCCTCGGCCGTGATGCGCCGCGCCGGGTAGTACGTCAGGAAACTGCCAAGGATGCAGGAAAAGGAGATTTTAACCCCCCAAAACTGTCAGGAATGCTCTGGAGGGTTTTGTGATGTTCAGCAGAATTGTGGCTCTGGGTATTGGGGAGATTCTCTTACTGGTGTTGGGTGGAATTCTATTGATTTGGTGGAATTCCACTGGTTGGGTGGAATTCTGTGAGCAGCTATTGGTGTAATTCTATTGTTTTGGTGTCATTTTAATACAATTGTACCAATGCCCAGTAACAGAATTATTCCCAGTAACAGAATTATACCCAGTACCCAGGAATAAAATGATACTAAGCTAATACAAAATGCCCAGTAATAAAATGATACCAAGTGAATAGAATTATACCCAATGTCCTGTAATAGAATTATACCAAATCAATACAAAAATGTCCAGTAATAAAATGTACCAAATTAACAGAATTATACCCAATACCCAGTAATAAAATAATATGAAATTAATAAAAAAATGTCCAGTAATAAAATGTACCAAATGAATAGAATTATACCCAATACCCAGTAATGATACCAAACAAATCAATACCCATTAATAAAATGATACCAAAGTAATAGTATTATACCCAATACCCAGTTATAAAATTATACTAAATTAATACAAAAATGTCCAGTAATAAAATGTACCAAATTAATAATTATACTCAATACCCAGTAATAAAATTGTATGAAATTAATAAAAAAAAGTCCAGTAATAAAATGATACCAAATGAATAGAATTATACTCAATACCCAGTAATGATATCAAACAAATAGAATTATACTCAATACCCATTAATAAAATGATACCAAATGAATAGAATTATACCCAATGTCCTGTAATAGAATTTTACCAAATTAATACCCAATGTCCAGTAATAAAATGTACCAAATTAATAATTATACCCAATACCCAGTAATAAAATTATATGAAATTAATAAAAAAAAGTCCAGTAATAAAATGATACCAAATGAATAGAATTATTC